CATTAAGGCACCACGCGGGGGGATCGCCACGCCCCCAGGAGGCGCCCTGCCACGGCGCCACCGGCCCCCTGGTCGCCATGCCTGCGCCCCCCCCCCCAAAAAGGGCGCGCTCTCCTGCCCCGAAGAGGGCGCGCTGCCCTTTGCCAAAGCGCGCTCGGCGCGCCGGCTCCGCCGAGCGCTTTTTGGCGCGGTCACGCGCGCATCGGGGCCGTCTCCCTCTCTCCCTCTCCCTCTCCCCCCCTCTCCCTCTCTGCATCCCATCCCTCTCTCCATGCGTCCCTCTCTCTCTCTCTCTCCCTTTTTGTTGCCTCTGGGTCTCTCTCTCTCTCTCTCTCTCTTTTTCTCTTTCTCTGCTCTCTCCCCTCCACCTCTCCATCCCTCCCCCTCCATCCCCCCCTGCCTCCGCCCCCCCCACTCTCTCTCTCTCTCTCTCTCTCTCCCCCTCTGTCTCCACATGCTCGGAGCCTCCTGGAGATCATCGCTTGGTCGATGCGCACACGTCCAGCATCGAGCAGAGGCCCGGCAGAGCCGCTCCGCCTCTGCTCTTCTTGGCTGCCCGCATCTGCCCCGCCATGATGCCATGCACGCTTTTGCCGCCTTCCGCCGCCACGCCCACTCCGCCTCTCGTGGTGCTTCGCTCTGCCTGTGGGGCGGCTTGCGCGGGAGAGGCAGCCGCATCCCACGCGACGGGGACACAGCCGTCGAGGTGTTTCCTGCTGGTTTTGTCCACGCTTCGGGTGCGCCAGGCAGGTCTCGCTTCCGTGCGGTCGGCTGTCTTTGCCGCCCGATCGGGCCAACTTCTCCACCACGCCAAGGCCGGATCTGAGTGGGCACGGGCAGGACTCGAAAGGCGCAGTCTCCCGATCCAAATGCATCAGGTGAGGGCGGTATCTCCATCGGTTGTCCGACAGTTAAGCGGTTTCCTTTGTTGGTCCGTCCAGGAGTTCGATCTCTGGGAGGAGCGGCCGGGAAAGGGGAGGGAGGATGAGAGAGCAACGAAGAGAGGTATCCTAAAGAGAGGGAGCATAGAGGGTCGAGGTCCGTTCGTGGGAGGCAGAGGGGGAGAGGGGGGACGGCGAGCGAGGGAGGGGAGCAGAGAGAGGGAGTGAGGTGGAGATGGAGGGCGGGGGGAGAGAGGGGGGGACGGTCAGAGCGGGGGATAGAGAGAGAGAGAGAGAACAAAGACAAACGAGGACCCCAAAAATGGAGGGAGAGAGAGAGAGAGAGAGAGTGAAGGGGGAAGAAATAGAAGAAATAGAGAGAGGCTGGGTCCGGGCGAGAGGAAGAACATGCATTTGAAGAAGAACCCGGCTATGACTATCATAGTAGTAGTAGTAGTAGTAGTAGTAGTAGTAGTAGTAGTAGTAATAATAATAATAATCGTAATGCTAGTAGTGTCCATTTGGTTAGGTATACGAATAGTATTATTCATAATGTAAGTTTTAATGTTTAATAATAGAATACATGACAATGATAATAATACTACTAATAATAATGATGATGCGAATGCGAAAAACAATGATGATATTACGAATCGTACAAACACGAATGCGAATGCTAGTGCTAACAATACTGGTCATGATGTTACTATAACGAAAACTACGGTTAACAATATTCATTGCAAATAACAATGCTCACTATATCTATAAGAATAAGACTAAATGCTTCATACTACTACTAATAATAAGCAGGAGACAATAGAGCGGGAGCAAGAGCAGGAGGGGATTCAGGAGCGAGGGGGGCACGGGCAACGACAGGGGGGAAGGAGGAGGAGGAGAGAAGAGGAGGGGCGAGGGAGGAGAAGGCGGGGAGGCGATAGGGCCAGGCGCGGAGGAGGGCGGGGAGGAGAAGGGGAGCGGGCCAGTGGAGGAGGAGGAGGACGAGGAGGAGGAGGAGGAGGAGGAGGAGGACGAGGAGGAGGAGGAGGACGATGAGGAGGAGGAGGACGAGGAGGAGGAGGACGAGGACGAGGACGACGAGGAGGAGGAGGAAGAAGCCGCGGCCCGCCCGGCCGGCGAGCTGGCCGGCTAGCCGGCGGGGCGCCGGGGCGCGGAGGAGGATGCGTACAGTTTCGTCGCACATGCTGCACAGTGGGGATGAGTGTGCGTTGGTGTGCGATGTGCAGGCTCGTTCGGCGGTCGAGGAGGAGGGAGGAGGAGGACGAGGACGAGGGCGAGGGCGAGGACGAGGAGGATGCGGACGAGGAGGAGGAGGAGGAGGAGGAGGAGGAGGAGGAGGACGGGTGCAGCTGGGAGTTGGAGCACGAGGAGGATGGGGAGGAGGAGGAGGACGAGGTGGAGGAGGAGGACGAGGAGGAGGAGGCGGAGGAGGAGGAGGAGGACGATGGTAGCTAGGAGCAGGAGCACGAGGAGGATGGGGAGGAGGAGGAGGAGGAGGAGGAGGAAGAGGAGGAAGAGGGCAAGTGCGAGGGGAAGGGTGGGGGTCCCCCCGCGCCGACCACCCCCCCCTCCACCTCCTGACGGCCTCCGCCTCAGGCCCCGCGCGCCCCCTCCGGCGGAAGGTCGTCACCGCCGAGAAGGACGTGCAGTGGTGGACGGGCCTGCTGGAGGTGCCGGAGGACGGCCGCCGGGGGGGGGGCCCGGCGGAGGCGCGGCGAGCAGGCTCAGGCTCGGGTCGCTCGGTAGGTTCGTGTCGTGTCGACCAGCGGCGACCCCGCCGCCGGAGTTCAACGTTGAACGCCGACGGCGACCCAGAATCGATCGATGTTCAACGATGTGGCGTTTCGGAAGCGGCCGATCGTTCAAGGTTGAACGATTCCCGCGGTGTCAAAAACCATTGGAAGACTGGCAGCAGTTCCTGCCCAACTTGCACGGGGCTCAGATCGGCGTCACCCCAGCATACTATAGTACGATGTGTGCGCCCCCCCCCCCCCAGGGGCGGCGCGCGCACCGAGGAGTCTTGTAGTATATGCGTCGTGGCGGGCGCTTTCTGGCCACACCGCTCGGGGGAAGGATCTGCTACAAGATGGGTATACTATATGTTCGGGTTGGACGCGGGCCTCCAAGGAGGACATGTAGTACTAGTATCTCTCTGTGCGTCCCATCAGAGGAGGAAAAGGTACCCGTACCGCTATCGTCAGGAGGGAAAAAAAAAACACAGACACAATTAATCGTCGATCCCCCAGAAAATATGGGAAAATATGGGAAGTGGGGGGGAAGACAAAAACCCAGAAAATATGGGAAAATATGGGGGATAGTTTTTTATTTGTGTGTATTTATTTGTGTGTCCTGGGGCCCCTTCATATCGTCGCCACCCCTGGATTCGCTTCGAAATTCTGGTCAGAACGCACTTCGGGAGAGATCCGTGGATCAGCGGTCTCGGCACCTTTCGGCTTCCCCGTTCCCGGCCTTGAGCGCTTTGAGAATCAGGAGGGAAAGAAACACACAGACACAATTAATCGTCGACTCCCAGGAAAATATACAAAAATATGGGAAGTGGGGGGGAAGACAGAAACCCAGAAAATATGGGAAAATATGGGGGATATTTTTATTTGTGTGTATTTATTTGTGTGTCCTAATTTCCCTTCAGAGAAGGCCGCGGCCCCGAGACATCCTCCAGAGCCGCGGGATCTCGGAGGATTCTCGATGGATCCTCACCCGAGTGTGTCCTCGTCTTGGCTTCGTCTTAACCGACAGCAGTGTCTGCCCATTCTGCACGGGGCTCCCTGTCAGTTCGGGGGCGGAAAAGAGGGGGGTGATGACTAGGGGGGGGTGGATATCATGGCGGGGGGCATGATATTTCCCCAGATTTCATGGCGCCTCTTCGTATTTCATTACGTCCCTGGCCCCCCGTTGGGCCGCGCACATGCCGCTGGTCATGATTTGCACCCCCCCCTCTTGGACACCCCCCTCTTTGCCGCTCCCGATCAGTGTTGCCGCCGACGTGGTCCGCGTAAGACGAACAAGTATAACCTATCGCTTGCCCAGCTGCGGCCGCTGTCAGAAGTGGACATCAATTACGGTTGGGCACAGTGCCCATCGTTCCGTGCCCATTTCGGGCGTGCCAACAGGCGCTAAGAGGTGGACGAAGCAGTCAGCGTCGGAGAGGGCCAGGGGCAACGTTTGCGGGGGGGTCCGAGATTCGAGGTTCTCGAGTGTTTACGTCAACTCTCGGCGATTTTCCAACCTCGCGGCGCCTTCCAGCAGGTGCGCCTCGCCGAGGGTGTTCTGGGGCTGCTCGGATCGTCCCGAACGAACGGATGCCGGAGGCCCAAGTCATGGCCCGAAAACCAGGGAGCGGAAGTTCAGGGGCAACGCTGGGGCGGGACAGGCTCAGGGAGGAACGCATGTAGGGAACAAACTCCATACACCGACGTTTGTTCCGACCTTGCGCTGAAAATTCGCACAGGAACGCGTAGGATTGAAAAGTCGTAGGATCGAAAAACGACCCGCCACTGGTCATGCATATGTTCCAGTTTCCGAGCATGGGCCCCCGATCGCCCATGGATCTTGTTTCCCCCCCAGACATCTAGGCGTCCTGAAAAGATCACGACGGGCATCGGTGGCCCCGTCTCGGGCCCAGGTCTTGACCAGGTCGGTTTTGCTCGAGAGAGAGGATGCGCACGGACAGGCGTCGGGAATGACTGTCGTGTTTGGTATCCGCGAAGTTCCACATGGTCACAGCGTCGGAACAGGAGCCGAGGAGGCACGGGTCATTCAGTATCAGGTCCATCCGAGTGTGATGCGTTCGAGCAGCCTCGTTGGGCAACGTGGCCACTCTCTGAGCAGAGTCCCCGCTCAGGGCCACCCGCGTGAATGACGAAACGTCCAGCGGGCGGTGTCTATATTTCACTAAGATCCAGGCTAAACTTCTGATGTTTTTTTCGCCTCTGGCGGGGGAGTGCTTTTCACGAAGCTCCGTGACCGCCGAACGAACAATTACTCAGGATGGAGTCGACACAAGACAACACTGAATGTCCCAGGTGGGGGTGGGAGTGGGGGGGCCGGGCAGAGGAGGGGTTGGGGGGGGAGCATAAGGGGCGACAAAGCAGGAGGGTGAGGGGGGGAGGGTGTGGGGAAGGGGGGTGGCCAAGGCAGAGCCAGAGTCGTCTGGAGGGGCGGGGAAGGGGAATGCGAGGGGGAAGGGTAGAGCCGAGGTGGAGAGGGTATGAGGGCAAGGGGGGATGTGGAACAGGGGCAAGGGGGAGAGGGTTGTGATGAGCAGGAGGAGACGGAAGAGGAACAGGAGGAACAGGAGGAACAGGAGGAGGGGAGCGGGAGAGGATGGGCACAGGACACACGTGGGACGTAGGGGCGAAGACCACTAGGCAGTTCACTGTGACGTATGATCCTGGCGACCAAGTAGCTAGCACCTGCCTCGCATGCCATACGCAGTACGCATGCCATACGCACTTGCCTCGCGACACCTGCTGTAAGGCATGCCATACGCAGTACTGCCGAGAAGGAGCTTCACGTTGCAATCACATCAGCAGTCGGGCAGAAGCCCCTGAGGGAAGAGCCAGGATGAAGCCGCGCAGAGTGCGAAGTACGGAATCAGTATGATGTATCTCGTGGTTGTGGGGCCTATGAGCCAGAGGATGTCTTGAGACTGATGGAGTTCATCATGTCTCACTTCAAGAACGTCGAGGAGGACGCGGGGGTCTTGGCATCGCTCGGACGTGTGCATTTCTTCTTTCGGCGAGGACCATCGAGGAGCATCCTTGATCATTTGGCGAAAAAACTACGCACGAAACCGAAAAAAACACAGGGAATGGACGTCCGAGCGATGCCCAGGGGTGGGCGTGGCTGGAGAGCTCACAGCAGGGCACCTCGGCGTGGCGCGTGGAGCCATGCTGGGCTCCGCGAGGCACCCGTGGTGGTGATGGCGAGGGCTCTTCTGGCCGGGCGGCGGCAGCGTGCACGCGGTGCACGCTGCCCAAGCGGGGGTGTCGGGCCAGGCGAAAGGGGGGCATTGGGAAAGGCGGGGGTACGAAATTTGCTGCATGCAGCTGGTTTCGGCCTCGCCGAGGGGCCCATTCCTCGATACATGGCCGCCTCCGGCGCCGGGAGGCGCCGGGAAAATCAGCTACGTGAGCTGATTCTCAAACCCCCCTTTTGCTATCCCCCCCTTTCGCCCGACCCGAGGGTGGGAGGAATGCTCGCTGGCGAGGAAGGTCATCGGGCCAGCGGGAGGATGTGATGGGTTTGCCAGCCTCGAGCTCATCCCTATCCTTAAGGTTGACACGCCAAGAGGCGATGACAATCTCAGGGATGCGCCCTCAAAAAATAAGGAATCCCTTAGAGTGGCTTCGTGATGAGGAGATGCCCAGCATAGGGATAGGGATATGTTCCAGGCTGGTGATGGGTGCGAGGAGGGGAAGGGAGATCGAGGCGAGGAGGACTGAGATGATGGGTGATCTGGACAGTACGAGGAGGAGGATCGAGGGGGGGACGAGGAGGGGGATCGGGGCACGGGGAGCCGTGGAGCGGTGCGGGGAAGGAGAAGGAAGAGGCGGGGGCGGGGCAAGAGGGGCACAAGGCGGAAGGCTCGGGGGAAGAAGGATCAGGAGGAACCGGACCAGGAGGAGAAAGATGAAGACGAGTATGAGGGACAAAAATGTAGAGAGAGGGGAGCAGGCCAGAGTCCGATCCGTTCCGATTCCGATGCGCCCCTACCGATTCCATGTAGGTGTTCCGATTTGCCGATTCTGGTTCTGATCTGGCGTTCCCAACTCTTATCGATTCCGGTTCTGACTCCGACGTTTCGCGCGAAATTTCAGGAAGGTAGGAGGGAGGAGAGGCAGGGTGAGGTAGAAGGCGGAGGTACAATGGCGGAGCGGTTGGTGGAAGTGTAAAGGGTTGGAGAGGTTGGGGGGAGAAGCCAGGGGAGCTAAACCGCCTTGCGCCGCCGCGCACCCCTCGGGGAGGGGGGTCCCTGCTGGGAGGGGGGCCGCCGTCGGGAGGGGTGCCCGACGACGTCGACGACGGCGACGATTACGAGAGGGAGATTTAGGGTCATCCTGAGGCATCCTGGGGGTCCTGCTGGGTCCTGGGAGGTCCTGAGTGGTGCTGGGAGAGCGCTTTCGATTTCGAGTCTGCTGCGGCGGATTCGATCTCGGGCGCACTCGGAAGTGCGTCCGGGTTTCCGGCTCCGAGCCGATCGGGTACGCGTGTGTCTGGTTCCATCCAGCCCAGCGTTTCGCCGATGCGAGTTCGAGTTTTTGGTCCGGTGCAGGATGGGCCCGGGGCCTGGGGCGGAGCGGCGAGCGGGGGCCGGGAACCAGGAGGAGCCTGGAGGGGTGGGGAGAGCTTGGGCGGTGGTCAGCCACGACCAGACCCAACGCAAACCACCCCGACCTGACCAATCCGAAGGGGCCCCAGGCCTCAGGCTCCCCCAGGCGGGGGGGGGGCTTCCAGATGATCCGGGCGCCGTGCGGGTCCAGACCCGAAAAAGCCAGAGGGCCCTCCGCGCCGGCAGGGGCCCATGCGGAGCGCGGCTTCTCCGGTCCAGCTCCGGGGGCGTGCGTGCCCTTTGTGCTTGCGCCACAGAGGAGGGAGGAGGGAGGAGGGAGGAGGGGAGGGAGGAGGGAGGAGGAGGAGGAGGAGGGAGGAGGAAAATCCGGCAGAGCACCAGGTGCGGGCTCTGCTGCTCCCCAAGCAGTGCCTTGCACCTCGAGGGGGCCTCCTCTCTCCGATGGGCCTCTCGCCTGCGCCCGCCGAGAGGCCCCTCGCCCGCGCGCTGCCGTCCCCCGCGGGCGCCCCGCGGGCGCTCCGCGGGCGCCGGGCGGGCCTGCCGAGGCTTCGCGCGCGGCGCGGCCGCGCGCGGGGGCCCGCCCCGTGGGGGGCGGGCCCGTCGAGGTCTCGCCGCGCGGCCGCCCGACGGGGGGCCTCACGGGTGCCCCGTGCTCGGGGGCCCTTTGAAGCAAGGGCGCCCTCGAGGGCGCGAAGTTATTCGCGCTTCGCGCTTCGCGGTCCCTCGTTCCTTCTCCTCCTCCTCCTCGTCCTCCTGTTCTCCCTTTGGGAGGGCGGCGCGAGAGTGCGAAGTTATTCGCGCTTCGCGCTTCGCGGAGCGCGAAGCGCGAAGTTGGGAGCCCTAGTTGAAGCGGGGCGGCGGCCACAAGAAGTGCGGTGGGTCGGTGGGGATGTTCGGGGTCGCCGCAGGGTGTTGGGGCTCGCGCCGTTCCCCAGGGGCGTCTCGGGCGAGGGGGGCCTCCAGGGTCCCAGGACCGTGCGGCGACGGGCCGTGCGGTGAGGTCTCTTTGGGTTCCGAGGTCACCGCACGGTCTGTCACCGCACCGCTTCGGGACTCCAAAAGTAAGTATACTGCATGGCGCACACCACACAGAATCTGGCTGCAAAGGAAGCATGCGTAGCGTCTGCCACCCTGTCCCCGGGGGGGCTAAAAACACTGCATGGCATGCTGCCTCACCGCCCATTTCCCGAGTGAAGTCGAACCACCCCAAGCAGGCAGGACATCGCCACCCTCGTCTCTATCAAATGACACTGCGCGCACATGCGTTATCGAGCAAGATCATGTTCAAGAGCCCCTTACAACAAATGCGCAAAGTCCACGCACGCACGTCTCGAAATCGTATCCAGCACACCAGTTCTGCACGTATATCGAAAGAAAGGCATCATGCATCCTTAGGTGTGCAATTTCAATTATTGCACATGTTCTGTCCGCGCGCATGTGCTGAAGACACAGGGACCATATGAATTTAGCCATCTTGTCCAGAACCCGTACTATGGTCTCACCACTCGGTGCGTCCACATTGATCCAGTATGCGCTCAGCGCACGAATCCGTATTGAATAATACTATGCGTGCTACACGCGCGCGCCGCCACGCGCGCGTGTCGGAAGCATTCCAAGACCAGACGTGCTCGACGCAGTTCAATACACTGGTTTTCAACAAAATGCATGACCACCAAAATGTGTTTCAGCACTACGTGTGTGTCCCTCCACAGCGCCGCCGCATCACGTCATCTGAACTGCCGCCACTGCACTGCCGCCATCCTCATTCAAGCACAGTCATCACCGACACATAGACATTATCATCATCGTCATCGTCGTCATCCTCATCGGTGCCGCCATTGGCCTTGCCGTCGTCACAGCCGTCATCGCCATCACCATCGCTACTATCATCATCGTTGCCGCAGTTGTCGTCATCATAGTACTGTGTCCGCCCGATTCACCCACCCGCATTGAAGTGCCCGCGCGCCAGCGCTGCCTTTGAGGCGGGCTTGCAGGCTGCCATCGGTAAACGCCATCGCGGCCGCATCGGTTGTGCGAAGCCAGCTGGCCGCTCTGTGCGCGAGTTTGCGCGCGCCAGCGCGGGGAAGAGATGCTCCAGCCAGTACCAAGCAGTCATCGCAATCGCGGCCGCACGAGTTGTGCAGAACAGGTTGCGAGTGGGAGTGCGAGTTGATTGCGCGAGCAGTGGGGTCAACAACCCACGTGTTGGCAACAAACTACACCACACTATTGCGCAACACAGTTTGCACCACATAACTTACACCACAAATTTCACGCCGCAGAGATCACACTACATCGCTCACGCATCCGCCGTGCAACATCTCACTGTTTGGGGTGGGCGTTGGCAAACCTGTTTTCTCAACACTCCAGAGCAACGAACAATGACATAAAGATACAAACTCGGAGGTCCGCGCGGATTTCTCGGATCGGCGCTGGACCCCAGCGCGCCAGGGGCGGCGCCGGAGGCGCCGCCAGGGGGCCCCGGCGCGGATCCGAGAAGTCCGCGCGGACCTCCGAGTTTTTATGTTTCTGTCAGTCGTCGTTCCCCTCAGAATGCCCCCCCCCGCTAGTATTAAGTCGGGCGTGTCCCCCTACAGGGGCATTTTCGACGAAAAAAAAAATACCCCCAACATAGTCAAAAAATATTCAAAAATAGTCTGAGGACTATTTTTGGACTATTTGTTTGACCTTTTTGGGGCATTTTTGGAGTATAAGGTTTTCATCGAAAATCCCCCTGTAGGGGGACAGGCCCGACATAACGCTAGCAATGGACGGGCCCGGCGACGACGTCGGGCTTTTGGTGCAGCGGCTTGGCAGGTCATCGCTCATGGCCTGGGCGTGGAGGAGCACGGAGGGGGGACCAGAGTCGACCCAGGAAGCATCGAAGATGCTGCATCCTCCTCCAAATCCCCCTGCGCACGATGCAAGCGGGCATGGAGTCCGACCCCCACGACCGCCCGAGGGACGGGACCTTGCCCGCCCCGCGACCCCCTAGAGCTAGGGGCCGCCACGCCGACGAGGCGAGAGGCGGGAAAAAGCGAGAGCGAGGAGGAGGGGAAAAAGAGGAGGCGCCGGCCTCACCCGTGCTGCTCGAGGAGCAGCACTGACCACCGACGGTGGCCAGCCCCCATGCCACCCTGGCTCTCCCTGCACCAGGGGACACTGGCTACCCCACGTCGCCGTGCGGGGCACACGGCGCGTGTTTCCGCGCATGGATAGCCAGGCCTGCTCCCCCCAGTCCCCTTGCCCAAGGGGGACAGAGCAGGACACCCCATGAGCCTGGCCGAAGCCAGACCCCCCCTCCACACCCTGGCGCGACCGGGGAGTCGCCGGGCCAAGACAGTGGAGGGGACCCGATTCGGCCGCAGCCGAATCGGGATTACCGTTGGGGTCCGAAGACCGGGGTCGGTGCCCCCACTGCCGAAACCACCCACTCACCCACGGCTATGCCGTGGGTGGGTGGGTGGTTTCGGCAGCGGCGCAGCCCCCACACAGGCCACGACTGAGCGGGTTTCAGTTCCCCCGGACGCCGGTAGGTGCCGCCCACACCAACCGGCTGCCCGCCCGGGGGCTCCTCCAAATCCCCCTCCTCTGCTCCTCCTCTCCTCCTCCTCCCCCTCCTCCTCCTCCCCCTCCTCCTCCTCCTCCTCCTCCTTCTCCTCCTCCCCCTCCTCGTCCTCCTCCTCCTCGTCCTCCTCCTGGTCCTCCTCCCCCTCCTCCCCATCTTTAATGCTTCCTGGAAGCATCAAAGATGCTGCACCGCACCAGTTCCCGCCGCAGGCCCCGTCTTTCACCAGTCACTACAAGTCATCCCTCTCACTGCACGGAGCACCGGGTGCCAGGCGAGAGTCTCGTTTTGAAAGAGAAGTCGCCCCGCAGCCTTTCAACGCAAGGTTGCTGAGGGCGAGAATCTGGCATTATCAAAATTTGGACGTCGTATCCAACGCGAGCCCTATTTTGAATTGGGACCACCCCCCTTACTCGCGCAACGAGTGCGCAAGATCACACTTCTGGTTACTGGGTAAGTTCAAATGGAGAGCCCAAGTGTGAAAAGGAGCAACTCTCCATACGTGCAGCTCCTGTTGGACCATCTGGTCTGTCAACTTAGGAAGCCCCCAATGAACAAACTTTTGAAACGGAGACGCCCTTCATTCTCGCAGTTGCTGCCAACGGTTAAGACAATTGTGCGCGGCGCTCAGGTGAGAGTGAGAGCGCTTTTTGGGACAGGAAGCGCCCTTCGTTTTTCTCAAGCTTACAAGTTTGTTTAGAACAAAGTGCGTGGCGCTTAGGCGAGAGCCCCATTGCCCGTTAATTGCCGCAACAAGTTTGGACGAATCTAATGGCGTTCGGCCCATCCCGCCACCGTGATTAGGATGTGGGTCTGCGGCATCTTGGATGTTCGTTGGGATCTCGTCGAGGTCTCCTAGAGGCCGCCTGGAGGCAGTTTTGAGGCCTCTTGGGGGCTGCTTCGGGGCCCTGTTGGGCCTCATGGGTGCCTGTTGGTGCGGAAGGCTCGGATGTTCGATTCGTGCTCCCCCTTTGTGGGCCCTTGTGGGGCCCATGCGGGAATGCCCAGCACATTTGGGAATTTGGGGCCCAGGCCCCTATACGGTAGGTTCGCGTCGTGTCGACCAGCGGCGACCCCAGCGCGGACGTTCAAGGTTGAACGCCGCCGGCGAACCAGAATCGATCGATGTTGAACGATCGGACGTTGCGGCAGCGGCCGATCGTTCAAGGTTGAACGATCCCTGCGGTGTCAAAAACCAACGCTGGGGTCGGCACTACACGAACCTGCCGTAAGAATCCTCAGGATCTGCGGCTCAGGGGTTGAGCAACGGACTTGGGGACACTCCACTTCGTGCCTCGGGGGCACAGCGGATATGCACGACGTTGCGGCGATAACCCCATGTTGAAGACGACCCGCCCGATGAATTGTTGCCAGTGTTGCAGAGAGCGCGCGTGGCGCTAAGTCGACAGCTCCGTTTTGAGCACGACATTCCTCCATGTTTGTAACTGTTGCACGCTGTAATGAAGAATGCGCGTATCGGTAATGCGTGAGATTGACTCTCCCTCCATCTTTGTAGCGGTTGCAACTTCTCAGGTTCAGTATCATAAGTGGTGCGAGGGTCTCAGGCGAAACGCTCGGCCCGACCTGCCAACACGCCGGGTGGGGGCCAAAGGGAGGAGCTCTTATACATGTCAAGAAAAGACGGTGGAGGACGTGGGGGACAGGTCGGCGGCCAGGGCGGGGGGAGGAGGCGGCGGAGGAGGAGGAGGAGGGTCAGGGAGAGGAGGACGAGGGTCAGGGAGAGGAGGAGGTGGGGGAGGAGGAGGAGGAGGAGGAGGAGGAGGCGGATGGCTGACAGGATACAGAGAAAGAGGAGCAGTAGGAGGAGACGGACGAGAAGGAGGAGGAGGAGGAGATGATGAGGAACAGCAGGCGCCAGAGGGAGGAGGAGCAGGAGCAGGAGAGGGAGGAGGGGTGGAGGAGGAAGACGGGAATGTGGAGGAGGAGGGGGAGGGGGAGGCGAAGGATGGATGAGGAGTAGGGAGGTCGGAACAAACGGGGGGGGGAAGGGGAAGGGGAAGTGGGGGGTGGAGGCGAGGGAGTGTGGGAGAGATGGGGGTAGTGGCGGGAAGGGGGCGATTGGGCACGGGGGACAAGTGTCGAGGTCGTGGCCCGTCTCCCGCCCAACTCCGCCGTCGCAAACGTCTGGCCCACTCCCCTGTCAGGTGTGGGTATGAGCATGCGAGCGACGCAAAAAAGGGGTTCGTCTGCGACGACATTGGCGCGTAAGCTGCCATCGTAAGTTCGCGCGTAAGCGCCCTCGTCTCTAATGCAGCGTACCGCGCCGGCGGCCCGCGTAAGCCACCGTGTAAGGTCGCTACGTCATCTGGTGTAAGACCCGCGTTTGACTGTCGCTCGTGTGTTGTTGCAGTTGTTGCCTTCACCGTTTGCTTTGCTCTGCCATTTCGCCATCTTCCGACGCCCTTACTGACCCGATTCCCATCACCCTCCGTCCGATCACCTCTTGCTCCATCAGTGCTACACACAGTGCGATGATTACTTCGCGTTCCGCAGTGGAGCGTGGGAGGTCTTCACGAAACTTGACGGTGTCGACGGCAACGGCGAGATCAACTTCCAGGAGATGCTAGATGGTCTCCGCAAAATCAAGTTCCGCAAGTTCGAGGGCAAGGTCCGCGGGATGATGAGGAGGGCAAGGTTGATTCTGCCAAGGTACATCTCGAAACGCATACGCATTATGCTATAAATTACAAGGGCACTCTTGAGCCCTTGCTTACTCGGACCGTCCTTAGGCCGTTCTGGACGTCCGAGCGTCTAGCATGGACGTCCACGGATCTTGCATCCTTATCTTGCGTCCCTGAATGTGATCTTGAGGGTATCGCGGGCGACGCAGTGGCGTGACCAGGACGGCGAGCGCTTGACGTGATCAGGCGATCAGCACCACCCAATGAATCTGATGCGCTTCAAGGCGGTTGCATCCCGTTTATTCTCGCGGACGGCGCATTGCTCATGTCATGCATTTGGTCGCGACGGGTTTCTTGTTCATAGACCTCACGGGGGCGGATGGTGAGCAGTGGGCCAGGCTGCCTGGCACTGACAAGCACCCCCCCCGGTTCCAATCGGGGGGGCGGGGGTCAAACAGCCTCCCACTCCAAACGGGGGGGGGGGGGCGCGGACCCGCATGTCAGACCAATCCCAACCGACTGGTGACAATTCCAACCAAGTGGACCACTCTTTAATTGGCCGAGAAATACCTAGTGCTAAGTCCAATCAGCCATCTTGAGCCGTACAGGTGGATCTGATGTGCCTTGCAGATTAAAGCGGTTCAGAAATCGAACGCACCTCTTAAGAGAACACGCTTATTCAGACAGACAACATGCGTGCCACGGTTTGATATTAGTATACTTTCTGGCGTCTGGGAGTTCTCTTGATTTGAAGATGAGCAGTTGTTGCCAGTCTTACTGGAGCCTTAAGGCTGGTGTATGAGAGCCCGACAGCTTTCGCACCACAGTTGTGCAAGGCGTCGCGTCACTTTCTTTTCGCTTTTCAATTGAGCGTTGAGCAATGCCCTCGTGAGAGCTGTAGGGGTTCCACCAGCGAGCAGTATGAGAGTCGAACAGGGAGTGTGGATACGAATCCACAGATCTCAACCGCGAGCGAGAAGCTCAAGAAAGGGCGCGTTCTGTGGACGCCTGGAAGGAGGGCAGAGTCCGGAGGGGGGGGGAAAGGGGGAGGGGGCGAACCGCCCGCTTGAGTTGCAAGGGGAGGGGGGGGGGGGCGTGCGAATCCCGAGGGGGGGCCCCCTACTTTCCCCGCCCCTGGTTCGAATCGGGGGCGGGGGGAGAGTTTTGCACCCCCTCTTCCCGGTTCCAGGGCAGGATGGGCATCCGCCCCCCCCTCCCCCGCCCTCCCCCAGTGGTTCCCCAGAGGGGGAGGGGGTCCTTGAAGCCAAGCGAAGGTAGATCGCGCTCCCTCAAATTTGTAATCACAGATACCTATACGACCACCCTTCGGGTGATAAGGAGGTTGTGGGGGGGGAGAGGGGGGGAACCAACATCGGACTCAATTGATCTCAGTATCGATCTCACTCAACGGGACACCACGGGACACTTGTCGATCTCATTATCAATCTCCTTCAACGGGACACCACGGGACACCACGGGATACCACGGGTTACTGCGGTACACCTATTGATCTCACTATCGGTCTCACTATCGATCTCACTATCGATGTCACTCAACGGGACACCATCGGACACCACGGGACACCTCGGGACACCTTATCGATCTCACTATCGATCTCATTATCGATCTTACTCAACGGGACACCACGGGACGCCACGGGCCACCACGGGACACCACGGGACACCTCAGGGCCACCGCCGGACGGACGATAATCATTTGTCTTGACTTCGCCCTAGCAGCGGCGGACACCACGGGACACCGTTAGGGCCACCGCCAGACGGAGGAGAATCATTTGTCTTGACTTCGCCCCAGCAACGGCGGACACCACGGGACACCGTGGGACACCGCCAGGGCTACCGCGGGACGGACGGAGGAGAATCATTTGTCTTGACTTCGCCCTAGCAGTGGCGGGTTCATTCCTCTCGCGCGCCCACGCAGCTTCGCCTCGCCCAACGCACGCTTCGCCTTTCCCAGTTGCGGGTCTCCGTTCCATTGCGATCTCACCCCCCATCCTCCGACGTTGGCTTGATCATTTGCCCCTTCACACATTCATACATATGTGCAGACAAACATAAAGTCATCCATACATGCATGCATACATAGATGCATACATGCAATACGATACATTGCAATCAAATGTACAACATACAATATACCATGTTCAATCCACAATATACAGTATGTCATATCTATTATCCAAGATTCAATACCCAGTACAATACAGCACAACAATACAATACATCATAACACACGCAGAACAATGCAATACACTGCAATACAACATGCCATCATCATGAAACCCAATCGGTGGATGATTTGAGGGTTGGTGATATGGATATCGAGAGCGATTGTGAGATCGATAGTGGGATCGATACTGGGATCGATGGTGAGGACGATAGTAGGGTCGGTCGCGAGACCGATAGTGAAGTCGAGTTCAGTGAGATCGATAGAGATAGCGCTCGTGCGATCTATAGTGAGATCGACTGTGAAATCGATAGTGAGATCGGTTGTGAGATCGATAGTGATCGACAGAGAGGTGGAAAGCGAGATCGATGGTGAGACCTATCGATGAAGAGATCGACCAGAAACCGGGAACCCCGAAACCTGGGAACCCTGCCGCCCACCGAAATCGGCCAGGAACCAGCAGCCAGGAGCCCTGCAGGAACCCCGCCTTGGGAACCCAGGAATCCGGCCGCCTCCCGAAATCGGCCGCCCGCTGTCGCCAAGAATCCCAGAACCAGGAACCCCGGAACCCAGCGGCCCATCGAAATCGGCCGCCCATTTTCGCCGAGTCCGGCAAGTTCCGCTATAGGGCCCCTTCAGTGCAAGCACGAATTGGGGTACAGTGCAAGCCAGACATACAGACAGAGAGAGAGAGAGACACACAGACAGACAGACACACAGACAGAGACAGAGACAGCGACAGACCGACAGACAGAGGCAGACAGACAGACAGATAGACACACAGACAGACACAGACAGACACATTTACATCTACATATACACATACACATGCACAAGCACAGGCACATACGCGTACATGCACATGTACATATACGAAAGAGCGTGTTCTACCGCTGCTGGCGGAAAACCGGGGGGGGTCACTACCGGTTCGAACCCCTCCCCCCCCCCCCTCCGGGAACCTTTTTTTTCAAAGCGGGGGGGTCACTACCGGTTCGAACACACTCTCCCCCCCCCCCCCCCCCCCAGCTTCATCATGAAAAGGGGGGGGGGGGGTTCACTACCGGGCTTTCGAACCCCTCCACCCCCCACCCCCCCTCGAAAACTGGGGGGGGTCACTATGGTTCGAACCCCCCCCCCCCCCCCTCGAAAACCAAGTGGGGGTGCGGACAGTGGTGGGGACGGTGTTGGTGGGGACAGTGGTGAGGGTACAGCGGGACAGTGGTGGGGACAGTGGGGGGACAGTGGGACAGTGGTGGGGACGGTAGTGGTGGGGACAGTGGTGGGGACAATGGTGGGAACAGGGGGGGGACAGTGGACAGTGGTGGTGACGGTGGTGGTGGGGACAGTGGTGTGGGGACAATGGGAATGAGGTGGAAACAGTGGGACAGTGGAGGGTACAATGGTGGTGGGGACAGTGGTGAAGGCGGTGGCGAGGACGGCGGTGGGACAATGGGACAAAGGTACAGTGGGGACAGTGGTGGGGACAGTGGGGACAGTGGTGGGAACAGTGGGACAGCTTCAGTGGGACAGCGGCGGAGTCAGTGGGACAGTGGGGACAGTGGGGATAGTCGGGCAGTGGTTGGGGCCGTGGAGACAGTGGGGAGAGTGGAACCGTGGTGGGAACAGTTCTGGGGACAGCGGGGACAGTGCTGCTGCGATGCGACAGTCGGTTGGAGGGCACGGCAGGGCAAGGGGACCAGGGGCGGCACTGGTGGGGGACAGTAGGGGGTAGGGGCGGTGGGTGTTGGGGGGGGGGGGGGGTGGGGGTGTGGAACCAGTGGGGACAGTGGTGGTGAGAACAGTGGTGCTGGGAACACCAGTGGGGGATGTGATGCGGACGGTGGTGGGGACCGGGAGTCGTTTGCTGGCGGTGAGTAGGGGGGGGGGTTCGAACGGTAGTGACCCCCCTCGGTTTTCCGGATTCCGAACCGTTAAGGGGGGGGGGGGAAGGGGGTGGGGGCTGCAGGGTAGGGGGGGAGGAGAGGGAGGGCTCGGATCCGGTAGAGGTAGTGGTAGTAGTTAGTGGGACCCCCCCCCCCCGGGTGGTCTTCCGATCCGGAGGGGGAGGGGGGGGGGGGGGAGGAGGAAGGGGTTGGTTCGAACGGTCTAGTGAACCCCCACGGTTTCGAGCGGGGAGGGGGGGGGGGGGAGGGTAAGGGAGGGGGGGTTTTGCCGGGGGAGAGGGTAAGGGGGGGGGGGGGGGGAGGGGGAGGGGTTGGTTGAGGGGGAGGAGGGGGGGGTGGGGGGGGGGGGGGGGGGGGGAGGGTTCCAGCAGGGGGGGGGGGGGGAGGGATCGGGGGATTGGCGGGGGGAGGGGGGAATGGGGGGATTATTTGGGGGATGGGGAGGAAGGGCAAGGGGGGGGGGGATGGGGGGGGGGGGGATTTTTCGGAGGGGGGGGGAAGGGGGGGGGGAGGGCGAACCCCCGGGGGAAGGGGGGGCGGGCGGGCGAGCGGCGCGACACCCCACGGGTTTAAGGAGGAAAAAAGGTTAGCAATTTTCCACAGTAAAGCGGCGGTGGATCACGCTCTCTCACATATACATAAACGTATACATGTAGCACTACACGTATACATATTCACATATATTCACGAACGCACACACACATATATATATATATATATATATATATGTATGTATATGCATGCTTGCGCATCTACAGGTATTCCCCTTCTGCCTCGCATCCACAGAAGGCAGGCATACAGTTCCCCCTCCCGGCCAGTGCCGTGAGGGGCCATCGCGAATGGTGTCCCGGCCCTCCCGGCTGCCTCCGCGGGAGGCTCGCCTGCGCCCTCCCGGGGCCCAGAGGAGAGCGCCCCGCCTGGGTGGGTCGGGCCCGTGCCTGGCCGCCGCGCCCGACGTCCTCTTCCTCCTCCTTTTTTTCTTCCTACACCCTCCCGCCTCCTCCTCCTCCTCCTCACCCGCCTTACCTATCCTTCCCTCCTCCTCCTCCTCCTCCTCCATCCCTCCTTCCTCCTCCTCCTCCTCATCCTCCCCCCTCCACGCATCCTCTTCCTCCTCCTCCTCCTCCTCCTCCTCCTCCTCCTACTCCTACCCCTCTCTCTCCCTCCTGCTTTCCCCCGCCTCCTACCATTCCCCCTCCCCCTCCTCCTCCCTCCTCCCTCCTTCCTCCTCCTCCTCCTCCTCCTCCTCCTCCTCCTCCTCCTCCTCCGCCTCCGCCTCTGCTTCCGCCTCCGCCTCCGCCTCCTCGAGCACCGGCCTCCCCTTCCAAGCTTGAAAGCTGGACGAGGGTTGCTAAAGCCGTGGCTGCTAAAGCGGCCCTCCCGGCAGGAAAAAACAGCTTCCCGGAAGGAGGCGCGGCACGCGAAACAGTCAACGGGCTTCTTCCCGGAAGGACGAAGACAACTTCCCGGAGGTCGATTGTAGCAGCCACGGATTTGGCAGCCCTTGCCCGGCTTCCGACAAGCGCACGCGCACAGCGAGAGGGAGAGGGCAGGGAGTTGGGGGACGGAGGACGGTACATGAAACCAGGTCCCCGAGATCCTGGCAGCCGGGCGTTGTCGCTCCGTTTCGGGCCCCTGCGGCTCGAAGAATTCATGACGCAGAGGGGGTTTAAAGCGCCGGGCGTGAATTTTACGAGGGTGCATTTTTTTCGCTGCGTCGGATTTCAGGGCTTCTCCGCCGTCGGGGAGCGAAACGAAGGGCACGAAGGGCGTGGAGGGCGGGGGTTTAGGAGGGTAAGAAACAAACTGTTTCGCCGCGGAGGTCAGGGAGTTCGGGGACAAAGGACGGTACAGTCAACCCGCATAGCAAGGATGGGCAACCTTCCCAGGGGTACCCTTGCATCCTTGCCCCTTCGACTCATCATTAGCGACTCTCGCTGGCCAACCTCATTCGAAAACGCTAACGAGGCCCTCCAAGGCCCTTGCATCCTTACCGCACATCCTGATTATACGGGTTGGCTGTGTAAAACTCCGGGTGTGATTTTTTCAGCCGCCCTGGGGCAGACGTCCCCGACGGCGGAGACGTTTCTTTTATACCGCTCTTCGTCCGCTGAGGGAGGGCCCCACCCGAGCGCGCCCCAGGACGAGCGCGATCGCGTCATGTCGGTGTTCCGGCGCCCCCGCCCTCGCGCGCACTGCCGCTCCCCAGCACTGCCCGCCGCAGCTTCCGTGGGCAGCTGCCGCCGGAGAAAAATGCCCGGGCCACGGGCTGCGAGCGTGGCGCGTCTTCGATGATCCTGGCACGTTGAGCGCGCTCCAAACGAACGCGCGTTGAACGCAGACCGAAGTGGAGGCGGGCAGCACGTCGGCGTGGGAGCGCCTTGCGAATGATTCGGCCGATCCGTTCGCCAAGCAGGGGGCGGGGGATGCCACCCTTGAACGGCAGCCGCTGCCAGGGAGTTTGCTGGGCTTCGTTGCCTGCGACCGAAGGAGGAGGAGGAGGAAGGAGGAGGAGGAAGGAGAGGAGGAGGAGATGGGGGAGGGGGAGCAGAAGAAGGGGGAGGAGGAGGAGGCGGAGGAGGAGAGGAGGAGGAGGAGGCGGAGGGAGGAGGAGGAGGAGGAGGAGGAGGAGGAGGAGGGCGGAGGAGGAGGAGGAGGAGGAGGCGGGGAGGAGGAGGGGGAGGAGGAGCAGTGAGGGGGAGCAGGAGCAGGAGGAGGAGGAGGAGGAGGAGGTAGGAGGAGGAGGAGGAGGAGGAGGAGGGGGAGGTGGGAGGGGGACGGGGACGGGGACGGGTGAACGGGGAGGAAGAGGAGGAGGCGGAGGAGGAGGAGGAGGAGGAGGCGAGGAGGAGGAGGAGGAGGAGGAGGAGGAGGGGAGGGGGAGGGGGAGAAGGAGAAGAAGAAGAAGAAGAAGAAGAGGAAGAAGAAGAAGAAGAGTAAGAAGAAGAAGAAGAAGAAGAGGAGGAGGAGGAGGAGGAGCAGGGAGGAGGAGGAGCAGGAGGAGGAGGAGGAGGAGGAGGAGGAGGAGGGGGAGGGGAGGCGGCACAGCCGAAAGGGTGGAGACAAGCTGGCCGGACGCCGATCCACGCCCCCCGTGCGGGCAGCCCGTGCCGTCTGGGAGCCGTGTGGCCGCGTGCACCTCGCGTGGCGGCTGCGCCTTGGCCTGCAGAGCCTTCCAGAAGCCCCGCAGAGACCCGGCCGGCGCCCCGAGCAGAGACAGCGTGGCCGCAATGTGCTGAGGGGCCAGTCCCCGGCGGGTTACCCCTGCAGTGTGCGGGGTAATGTACGCCACGGGGCCAGGTGGGGCTGGCCTGCAGCGGCTCGCACGCGCCGGCCCTCGTCTCTCACGAGGCCAAGAGCGAGCTCGGTGCTGTGGGTGGGTTGGTTGGCGGTTGGGGCCGCGCGGAATCTCGGGTCGGCCCAGGAGACTCGGGCCGGACGAAAGAGCAGGATAGGGCAAGGGGGGGGTACGAAATCTGCTGCATGCAGCTGGTTTCGGCCCCGCCGCCGGGTCCAGTCTTCGATACATGGGCGCTTCCATGCGCCAGCAGGCGTCAGGGAAACCAGTTACGTGAGCTGATCCTCGACCTTACCCTTTATCATTCTACCCTCTCGCCCCCCCCGAGAGACGCTAGAAGAATGAGCGGTCCGGGCAGAGCGCCTTGCAGCTTCGCGTCGCCAGGCGTGCGAAGCGGCGGGAAACTCGGATTTGGGCATCACCACGGTTTCTTCGGTGCGCACTGCAGTACTGAATGGGCTCCCCCCCACCCCCGCCGCCGGCAGTTTGAATTGCTGTTGGCCAGCGAGCCCGCCGCCATTTTGTTGAGTGTTCCCCGCGCTGGTGTTTGCATACGAGTTTGCAAGTTCCGGCGCCGGGGATCGCCCGCGCGCGCTCGCGGGCGTTTGCGAGCACCCCACGGGGGGCTTGAGCGCTTGCGAGTGCTGGGGGGACAAGCGCCCAGGAGCGCATGCGGTCGTCTGCGAACGCCCGGAGGCGCGCGGGAGCGCCTGCGCTCACGCGCGGGTGCGCTTGCGAGCGCTGGGCGAGGGCACGCGGGGCGCCTGGTTCCAAAGCGCGGCCCGCCATAATAGGTCGAGACTGATTCTGAGAACATCAGCGTTTTTTGACGGAGATTGAATTCTGGGAGCCCGAACTGAATGATATGAGCTTTGCTGTCCCGCCGCCGTGTTTTTGGGAACCTCAGCTTCTGCCGTTTGTTCATCCTTTTCCCCGCCGCCCGCGTGTGTTTCCCCACATCCAAAGTGGGGTTATTGTTTTCTCTGGGCACTCCGCGCAGGAACACACAGGAACACACGCTCACTCACACTCACATTCACTCGCATTCACTCACACACAGACCATCTTTGACCACCTTGAGCATCACTCGATCACACACTCACTCACCCACTCACTCATCATCTGCATCATCCTCATCATCATCATCACTCATTCAGTCATTCACTCACTCACTCACTCACTCACCAACTCATTCGCTAGCTTGAATATGGGGGAAGTATCTGGCGGAAGTCTCGTTTATGAGCGAATTGCGAGGAAGTCTGTGAGCGAATTGTGAGGAAGTCTCAGACGGGAGCCTCCTCCCTATGGGGCCCGCACTTCATGTTTGTATTCCGAGCGGGTCATCCTCATTCTTGTAACCGTCGTCTTTTTGGGGTTCCCGAGGCCAGAATATGGAGGAAGTATCAGGTGGGGCGCCTCGTCTGTGAGTGAACTGTGAGGAAGGGCCCGCACTTCATGTTCTTGATCCGAGCGGGTCATCCTCATCCTTATAACTGTCGTCATTTTTGGGCTCCTGAGGCCTGAATATGGGGAAGGTATCAGGCGGGAGCCTCGTCTGTGAGTGAACTGTCAGGGAGTCTACAGCGGGAGCCCCCACCCTATGGGGCCTGCGCTTCATTTTTTCATCCGAGCGGGTCGTCCTCATCCATGTAACTGTTGTCATTTTGGGGCTCCCGAGGCCTGAATATGGAGGAAGTATCAGGCGGGGAGCCTCGTCTGTGAGTGAACTGTGAGGAAGTCTCAGGCGGGAGCCCCCTCCCTATGCGCTCTTCAGAAAGCGATTTGCCCGACCCATCAGGTGAGGAGGAAGAGGAGGAACAGGTTGTGAGGACGACGACGGCGGCCGGGCGCAAGGGGGAAACCCTTGTCTCCGGGCTGGCTGTGGTAACCCATCGTCAGCCGAATCGGGCGCAGGGGGGAACCCTTGCGCGGTTGCCCTAACGGCCTAGCCCGCGGGGTTGTCCCAACGGCCGAGCGACGCGGCCATTCGAGAATGCGCTCGCGCTGGCCGAGGCGGCGATGGCGTCGAGGAAAATCGACGAGCGCGCTCTTGCAATAGACAGAAGAGGAGGTGGTGGGTGACGAAAAAAACAGCAGGAGGGCGAGGCAAGGGCAAGGCGGGGAGCGGGTGAGAGCCCTGCGCCAGGGCGAGAATGAGAATGATACAGAGAAGACAAGAAGGGTGCCTCACTAATCGCCAGGGCGACTGTGAACGTTATTTCCAGACTAGCCAAAACAAATCATGCGGGGTCTTTCCTTCGGAGTAATTGGATATGTAGTGTGTTCTAGAGTTCCCGGTGTGATGTTCGGACCTTCCGGAGCTGTAGGTTCTTTGGTTCGTTTGAGTTCGTGTGTTCTAGGTGAAGAGCCTGGGTGCCCTACTGCTGCTTGTCAAGGGGGGAACCAGTCGCGGGGATGGGGGTCGTTTCGGGGGGCGTCCTGTGTGCTAGAGGAGGGAGGCCTTTGGAGCCTTCCAACGAGGCGCGAATAGGATGGCCACCTGCCCAGCGCGAGCGCGGCACACTGCCACTGCCAGGAGGGCGCAAAAGCTTGCACCACGCTCGGTGGAATCTCCCCTCGGGCGGTCCCGAGGCCAACGTGCTGGGAACCTTGCCTGAAGGCGAGGGATCCCGCCGCTAGCCTCGGGGACGCCTGCGGGGGGTTCCTATGAGCAGATGGCGAGGCCCTTGCGCCTTCAACCTGGGCGTGCACAGGCGGGGCACGACACCGCCACTAATGCCACTGCGCGCGCCGCCCCCGCACAGCATTCCTATGTGTACTTTGCCTCACGCGTACTTCGCTTTAGCCTTAGCCTGCTCCCAGCGTCCACGGTTTCAACCGCGTTTGCGCAGCTTGCTTCTGACTTCGCTACTCCTTCCCACGCCGTGCCCCTGCAGCGCCACGCCTTCACTCGTGCGGGCGACGTCCCAGCTGGCTAGAGGGCGTTGGGGGGATGAGGAGGAAGAATAGGAGTAGGAGGAGGAGGAGGAGAAGGAGGAGGAGGAGGAGGCGGTAGGAGGGAGGGAGGCAGGCGGAGGAAGGAAGGGAGGGAGGGAAGATGGGTAGGAAGAAGAGGAGGGGGATGATGATGATGATGATGATGATGATGATGATGATGATGATGATGATGATGATGATGATGATGATGATGATGATGATGATGATGATGATGATGATGATGATGATGATGATGATGATGATGGTGATGGTGATGGTGATGGTGATGATGATGATGATGAGGAGGAGGAGGAGGAGGAGGAGGAGCAGGAGGAGCAGGAGGAGCAGGAGGAGCAGGAGGAGCAGGAGGAGCAGGAGGATGAGGAGGGTGCTGGAGGCCCCACGCCACGGCCCCCCCCAACCCTGTCAAATAGGCCACCACTACGGAGGGAGACCCCGGGCACCCTCCAGAGCGCTGGTTCAACAGGGCCAAGGGACTCGAAGGAGGGGGGGCCCGGCTCAGCCACAAGAACAAGGCCCAAGGGCCAATCAAACGTTTTTACACTGCCGCATGCCAGTCTACCCCCACTCATCTCTTCCCTCCCGAGGTTTACATGTCACCTTCTTCATCCGTCTCCCACTGTCTGCCTCCTGAATGTTTTCATGTTGTTACGAATGTTCTCCGTACAGCCAGTCACACCAGTGACCCTGGCAGCCTAGTTCGATCAGCCCCCTAGGGCCGACCGGCCCTGGGGGGGGGGGCAGCCGGGGACGATTCACACCGTTAGGAATCAGGAGTCAGAGGAGGAGCAGCAGCAGGAGGAGTAGGCGGCATGGCAGAGGAGACTAGACGGGGGCGGAGGAGGAGGAGGAGAAGGAGGAGGAGGAGGAGATGGAGGAGGAGGAGGAGGAGGAGGAGGAGGAGGAAGGAAGAAGAAGAGGAGGAGGAGGAGGTGGAGGACGAGGAGGAGGAGGAGGACGAGGACGAGGAGAGAGGAGGAGAAGGAGGAGAAAGGAGGAGGAGGAAAAAGACAAGAAGGAGACGGAGAACGGAGGAAGAGGAGGAGGAGGAGGAGGAGGAATGGAGGCAGGAGGGAGGGAGGCAGGCGGAGAGAGGAAGGGAGGAGGAGAGAGAGGGGAGGGAGGGAGGAGGGGGAGGAGAGGAGGAGGAGGAGGAGTAGGAGGAGGAGGAGGAGAGGAGGAGGAGAGGAAGCGAAAGAGAAGGAGGAGGAGGAGGAGGAGGTGAAGGAGGAGGAGGAGGAGGAGGATATGGAGGACGAGGAGGAGGAGGAGGACGACGAGGACGGAGGAGGAGGAGAGGAGGAGGAGGAGGAGGAGGAGGAGGAGGAGTACGAGGAGGAGGAGGAGGAGGAGGAGGAGGAGGAGGAGGAGGAGGAGGAGGAGGAGGAGCGAGGAGGGGACCCCGAACATGTCGGCCACCAAGCTTCGTTCCCAGGACTTCTGGCATCGCATGGCCTTGCGAGTGCTTTCTGCTGTGTCTGCCTCCTCTCCTGAGCGACGCTGTGAGCCTCCCGCGGCGAGGGGTGTCTTGGGCATGCTGCGGCTTCGTGGCCTCACGCCCGTTGCCACCCGCGCGCGCGCCGAGGGGTGCTCCAGCGACTGCTTGGCTGGATGGCCACGTCGGCAGAGATCGGCCGGGCGTCTGACTCTCGACGGCCATTTTTTCCAGACGGTTTCCGTTGGCCATGTTCGGGTGTTGCTAGAAGTGCCCCTGGCCCAAGGTGCCCCCAGGATTCTCGGGGTGGCCCAGGAGGCCTCCAGGGCACCCCTCACGAGCCCCAGAGCGAAAGGCTGGAGGCACCTTGGGCCAGGGGCACTTCTAGCAACACCCGACATGTGCCTCTGTGCAGGGTGGGACGCTCGTGGGGTAGCAAAGACGTGAGTCGAGTTTCCTGCCCCCCCCCCCTCTCTCGTGCCGGGGGGAGTCCTGTTTTTTCCTCCGATGTCGATGTGTGCCTGGTGTTGATCCTTGCGCGACGCGGGCCCCGATGAGGCCCTCGGTCCTATCCTCGTAGACCTCATTGGGGACATTCTTCCCACCTGGGGCTGTTTGATTGATGGCCCAGTGCCCGATCTTGGTCTCCACACAGACCGAGATCGCTCAACGAAACGGAAAACACGCCCATCGTGGCATTGCTTGCGACTCGCCAGGGCCTCGTGCACAGAAGGTGCTCGAGGGAGGGTTGCCCATATGCTGTATCGGCGGGGACGCAGCGCGCGCTCCCGCGCCGCCCAGCGACCGCCGCCGACGCGGTGCTCACTGACGCCTTGGCCCCTCTCCTCCTCCTCCTCCTCCTCCTCCTCCTCCTCCTCCTCCTCCTCCTCCTCCTCCTCCTCCTCCTCCTCCTCCTCCTCCTCGCCGTCCGCCCAAAAGGTACCTGGACCCGGGCGGCGAGGGCAGCATCTCCCAAAAGGAGTGGGGCATCCTCGGCCAGCTGTGGAGGCCCGCCCCCCGTCGGCGGCCGCCGGCCCCCAGGCCTCGGGAGCCACGGGGCGCGTGTCGGGCCCGTGGAGGCGAGACTCGCTCGACACCTTGCCGGCGTGTCGGGCAGTCACTCTTTCGATACCTTCCCGGGTGCTCGACATCGTCTCTGGGACGCAGTCCTCAAGCACGACGGGAACAGCACAAACCTAAGGGGGGATGATTCGGCCAGCGGGGCCCAGGCCGCGCCAGTGGGGCGTAGGGATCTGTGAAGCGGTGCTCCTGGGTCGAGAGACTGCTGGGGCCCACGCCGGGAAAAGTAATCCCGGTGCCGGAGGTATGGGGAGGAGGATTGCCTCGACTCCGTTGCTCCCCCTTTTCCGCTTTCGCCCTCCTCCTCCTTCTCCTACTTCTCCTCCTCCTCCCTCCTTGATTAACCCCTCGTGCCTCCTCCTCCTCCTCCTCCTCCTCCTCCTCCTCCTCCTCCTTTGCCTCCTCTTCGTTCACCGTCCCTCCCTCCGCCCCCGCCGCTCTCCCCCCCCTCGTCCTGCACTTCTCCGGCATAGTTGCGCGATTCACTGCTGTTATACCAGATTCCATATCGTCGTTCAATCGGCCTCGTGTCTTTGCTTTCGAGACTCAAGGAAGCGTATCGTCGAAATTCGCCTGTTTCTCCGTTCGTCCTTTCCCACAAAGGGGGGGAGGGGGGGAACGAGTAGGATGATCAGGGCGACAAGGGCCAGGGCCGAGGAAAATGAGGGGGCACGGATAATGAGGTGGCGCCAATTCTTGCTTCCGCCCACCGCTCCCGTCGACCATGCTTCTCCCACAGCCTGCAGGGAGTTCGACCTCACGGTCAGAGAGTTTGTGCAGTTCATGGTGATCGCTTTCGGCGAGGACCTGGAGCAGACCTGGGACATCCTTGATCCCCTCGGGTCGCGGATGGGAGGAGAGCCAGACAAGCGAAACCAGGAGCAGTAACGGCAGTTTGGGGAATGAGTCGATTCGTTTTGCCATTCATGATCATTATGATGGTCCAGTTGAATCGCCAATGTTGCCACGAGTTGCAGGATACAGTGTCTGTCTTGATTTGCCAGGCCTTCATGAAACCGCTCTGTTTCAGGGTAGGGCGTATAAGAGCCATGCCTGGGATGGACAACCGAAGGGAACACGAGGGTTCATCTGGTAGTGTGGACTAGGTCATGGCATGCAGTGCAAGTCGAATTGGATGCGCATAGGCAACGTTGAACTCACTCGGGAGCTATGTGCCAAGGCACGTGCTCGCGTGCCAAGGCACGTTTTGTAATGAGTATGTTCGTTGTTCGCTCTTCTTGCTGCACGAAAAACAATGTACACAGTATAGCGCATCAAACATCCGCTCCCTGTCAGGGTACCTTGGGCTGCGTTGGTTCAAGACGCCTGCGGTTGACAGCCCCACGGATCCCAGGCTGCAGACGCAGCGAATTACTCGTGTTTCAGGGCATCGGTGCCTTGTGGATGTTCGTCATACTGCACACGGTGTGACCTATAGGTCACCCGCGGGAGCGCAAAGAGCATCACTCGTTGCGCGTCGCGGTCCAGGCCAGATCGGCCCCCCTTCCCTCCAAGGGGCGCGGCGCGAGGGCGCCTTGGCGCGCAGCTACTCGCGCACCGCGGGGTGCGATGGGCGAAGTCAGGTTTCCTAGCTGCTTGGCATCGCTCGGACGTGTGCGTTGTTTTTTATCCTCGGCGAGGACCATCGAGGAGCATCCTTGAACCTTTGGCGAAAAACCCACGCACGACACCAAAAAAAAACACCGGGAATGGACGTCCGAGCGATGGCCAGGGTGGCATCCCTGCTCAAAGTATCACTCTATATTATATCCCCTCTGCACCACCGTCCAGCGAGCGAGGGGTCGGGACAGCGTGCCATCCGGCCCCCCTGCTGCCGAGGCGACGGCCCTCCCCGCGCCCCCTTTCTCTCCTCCGCCCCGTGGCCCTCCCCACTCCCCGCTCGCCCGCCGTGCCGTGCCGCTCCGCCTCGCAGTCCTCCTCGTTATCCCATTTCCGCATCAGGGTCCCCCTCTCTCCCTCTCCATCTCGCTTCCGATTTGCCCGCCGTGAAGAACGGATCTCGCAAGTGTGGTCCGCCTCGCCGACGGCCTCCTCCCGCCCCTCCCTCCACCACCTGATCCCCAGAGCCGTCGCTTCTTTACAATCACGGCCGTCATGAATTTGCTGTAGCTCGAGCATCGCAGTCTCGAATTGTTCACACGCTGTTCTGTCGCATCCCAGTCAACCAGCCAGCCCTCCCCATCCAGCTCCTCCCCGTCCAGTTCCTCCTCCTCCTCCTCCTCGTCCTCGTCCTCCTCCTCCGCCACACTCTCCCCTCCATCCATCCTCTTCCTTTTCCTCCTCTCCCTTGCCATTCCCCTCTCCTCCCTTCCTTGTCCATTCACCCGCACCTTTTGCTTTCCGCGAGGTGCGCCCCATAGTGGAAGGGAGTGTGTGCACTGCCTTGCGAGGAGGGGACTTGCGACCTGAGGAGGCATCACATCATATATGATGCATGGTGTTGTTGATTTCTGGGGCTGCGAGAATACGATACAGGCACGGCATCCAGCTCCACGGTCTCGCCTATTTAGGGGGGGCAGAACTGGGATATATGCCTGGCCCCTTGGCGTGCGGGGCGCCTTCCGGAATTCTGCTGTCCCCCTCCTCCTGGCCCCCCACCTACCTCCAGAGCTAAAACAAAGCCCTCCAGACCTATAGACCCATCTGGATTGCCTAGAACCTCGACTGTAATTTAGACGTCAAGGTCTTGGTGTTGTTTGTTGGACCTCCTGGACAGTCAGGGCTGGTCACTCCTTCCCCTGCGTCCTCCTCTAAGTGCTAGTTCTCGGAGTGATTCACGGGCTTCGAGTGCAGAGGTGCCCGCACCGAATAGCCGCCCGCATTACCGCCCCTCCAAGCAGGTCATGTGCGATGTTGACAGTCGCTTTTGGGAGCCACGCTGCCCCATGCAGGATTTTCGCGTACGGGCTCGCCAGTTGCAGGTTGGTCTTTGCGTGGCTCCAGGTTTGCTTGGTGCAGTTCAGTGTCACCATCATTCGTCGCAGGGGAGTGTGATTGTTTAGCGGAAAACTTGCGCGTGATGGGCATATGCGGCCCCCCCCCACCCCCTCTCCTCGGCCCATCCCTCCCAAAGAACGCGCCATGGCGTGCTCAGCACGCTCTGGCAGGCGGGGGGCCACAAAGGGAGTCTGAGGAGGGAGGATGAAGAGGAGGAGGAGGAGGAGGAAAAGAAGAAACAGGAGGAGAAACAGGAGGTGAAACGGAGAGAGGAGGTGGAGGAGGCTGAGGAGGAGCAAGAGGAGGAGAGGGAGGAGGAGAGGAAGGGAAGGAGGGAGGATGGGACGGTCGGAGAGAGGGAGGGTTAGGAGGAGGAACGGGTGAGGAGGAGGAGGAGGAGGAGGAGGAGGAGGAGGTGGAGGAGGAGGAGGCGGGCGAAGGAGGAGGAAACAGCAGAGAGGGGGAGGAGGAAGAAAAGGAGTGAGAGGAGGAGGAGAAGGAAAAGGAGGAGGAGAAGGAGGAGGAAGGGGTGAGGAGGAGGAGGAGGAGGAGGAGGAGGAGGCGGGCGAAGGAGGAAACAGCAGAGAGGGGGAGGAGGAAGAAACGGAGTGAGAGGAGGAGGAGGAGGAAAAGGAGGAGGAGGAGGAAGAAGAAGAAGAGGAGGAGGAGGAGGAGCAAAAGCAGGAGCAGGAGGAGATGGCGGAAGAATATGGGGGAACCATGCAGGCGCATTTCTATGTTACATGTTATATTGGTGTCGCCGCATTTCTGTGCCTGTCACAGACGCGCCATGGGCCAGATCAGAACTTTGGTTTCCATGCGCCCAGAACGGTGCGTGCGCGAGCCTCCGCCGCTTCGTTTCTGCGTTGCTCAGTCGAGCTCTCGAGTCCTCGGTCAGTGGTTTGTTGTTGTTTTTTTCCTTCACCACCACCGCCCGATCTCCTTCTTCTTTTTCTTCTTCTTCTTCTTCAGCACTCCTTCTTCTTCTTCTCCTTCTTCTTCTCCTTCTTCACCACCACCACCCGATCTCGCCCGCCCTGCGCTCGACCCCACAGGGAGCGACGCCAAGTTTGGGGCAGTGGCGATGACACAGTGCTCATGTGCGCGCGTGCTCTCCCGCCCTCTCCGACTTCCCCCCGAGCCTGGACGGCGCCGTGAGCCCAAGCGGGGTGACGTGCCTGCGCCGACAAGGGACAACAAGGTCCGGCGTGCATGCGCCGGTGCTTGCGATGACACGGTGATGCCTGCACCTCGTGAGTTGACGTGCCGGAGGCGCCTTCGCTTTGCCATGGGCTGTGCCTTCGCTTCACCATGGACGGACGACGACGAGACGCCTGCAGCCTTTCTTTTGACGCGCCCGCGGTACCTGCGCTTGTCCCCGCGCCCGCGCGGATAAGTCGAATGTTCCCGCGGTGTTTGCGCTGACAACTTGATAGCGGGGCGATGCCTGCGCAATAGTATTTGATGCGTCTACGGTATGTATTTGCGCAGAGCCATGCGAAGCGCTTGCGCTGATGAAGCGACAGCGCCCGCGGTGCGCGCGATAACGCCGCCATGACGGGGCGAAGCCTGCACCCCATTATTTGACGTCCTTGCGGTGCCTGCGCCGACTCACGCACCCTGAGCTCGGGGCGTTGGCGGGAGCGGAACGGAGTGGTTGGACCGCGCATCTTCGGCGCGACGTCGCAGATCTTGCGCGGAGCAGGCTGCAGCCGCACGTGTGCGGAAAGAATCGAAGACCGCGCTCGAGAGGTCGACCTTGCGACGGTTCACCGACGTTCCCACCTCACTTGCCAGGTCGCGGAGCCCAGGCAGGGCTATCCAGTTTTGACTGGCATTCGGTATCAGGTTCTGGATATCATGATTGAGCCAAACTGGTCACGGGCGGCATCGCCGTGGATGCGGAGATGGCGGCGACGGCGGCGGAGGCGATGGCGATGGCGATGGCGATGGGGCAACCCCCGCGGCCGCGGTCACGATCATCTACATTGCACCCCGTCGCGCGGATCGGCCCCAAGTCAGGCATCCCTGCTTCGTCCGGATCATAAGATGGATTTGGAAAACGTCTGAAGAAAGGAGGAGGAGGAGGAGAAAAAAGAAGAGAAGCGGAGGGGGAGGGGGAGGAGGGGAGGGGGACGGGAGGGTGAAGGGTATGCATGCGGGGGGGGGCTGGAGGAGGAGGAGGAGGAGGAAGAGGAGGCGGAGGAGGAGGAGGCGAAGGAGGGCGGAGAGGGAAAGGGGAGGGGAGGGTGGAAAACAAGAGGTGGAGGAGGGGGAGTTGGACCATCACTACGCCCTCATTGTTTTTTCCGTTGGCGCATCGACAGAAGGCGCGCCAAGTCGGGTCTCTTGGACGTGCGAGGATGATGGGGGGAGGGTGGTAGATGAGTAGTCAAAGGAGGCGCGCGCAGGGAGAGGACGAGCAGGCAGGATGAGGGCGCGAGAGGGAACAAAAATGCAGGAGGAGGAGGAGGAGGAAGGGGAACTGGATGAACAGGAGGAACATGAGGGAGCGAGGAGGGGAAAAGGGAGGAGGGCGGAAGGACGAAGGGGAGGAGGAGGAGGAAAGGGAGGAGGAGGAGGTGGAGGAGGAGGACGTGCACCCAAATATTCGGAGAGGTCGGGGACGCTCAACCTCGAGCAGTGGATGTCCGCCGTGGAGGACCCCCCGTCCTTCGCCGTCCGCTGTCGGAGGCTGCGTCAGCCCGGAGGCACGGATGCGGCATGGGCAGGCCAGGGGCATGGAAAGAGAGTGGGCAGGGGACTGCGACCTGCTTGACAGCTCGAGCGACGCAGGGCCTGTTCCGGACCTTTGTTGGGGGGCCACCCCGCACCGCTGAGGTCCACAAGGTGCTTCCGTGCGAGAGTTCGTGGCCACCCCCGAGAATTGTCCCGGTAGAAGAAAGCCAGTGGGAAGTTACACGGGAAAGCAGGCCCCAAACATCCGGCCGCACCAATCCTTTCGACGAGTGCTGCGTGGGCCCCGGGGGGGGTCTTTCTTCCTGGGTCGTTTCTGCACTGCCCCGATGCCCGGCGAGGGCCCCTGGAGGCCAAGAATGGCTCCAGACCCGCCGCTCCAATTTTGCCAGAGCGTCGGATCTCTGGGGCGAACTCCTCTTCCTTCTCCCCCTCCTCCTCCTCCTCCTCCTCCTCCTCCTCCTCCTACCCTCCTCCTCCTCCTCCTCCTCCTCCTCCTCCTCCTCCTCCTCCCTCCTCCTCCTCCTCCTCCTCCTCCTCCTCCTCCTCCTCCTCCTCCTCCTCCTCCCCGTCCTCCGCCCGCCTAGCTCCCCGCGGCCGCGTCCGCCGGGACCCCCCCGCGACAGGCCTGGGGCCCTCTCGGAAGAGAGCGCGCGGCGGGAGCGCAGCCACCCCCCGGCGGCCGGCGCCCCATGGGCGGTCGGGCCTTCCGCCGGGGAGGGCCGAGCCGGAGGAGGGGGAGGAGGAGGAGGAGGAGGAGGAGGAGGAGGACCGTAGCCATTTTGGCTCAAGTTCGAACCCCGTGTCGCGGGGGCTCGAGCTTGCAGGTTTCCCGCCGCTGTGCGACAACCATCGAGGGGGCGCCCGACGCATTCTTGTGGGCCTCGCCCATCTTCATTTCTGCGGGCTTCACTGTTTCGCCCAGTCCTGCACCGCAGTTCTTTGATGACCCGCGGAGGCGGGAAATACTCAGGAGGGGATGCTGCCGCCGCCTGCCCCACCTGTGGATGCAAAAAGAACCCGAGCCACTTCCGCTTCTGCTACCACTGTCGCGGCACTCTCCCTCGTCTTGGCGCTGCTGTGCCGCCTGCTCCTTCTGGTGCATGGTCGCGGGCACCATGGCGTCGTGTCGGAGGACATGCTTGGCCTGGCGGCGTGCAGGATGGTGGCAAAGGAGGGCGCCCCAGAGACACTCTGGTGGGCTCCCAAGGTCGTGGAGGTGCCCAACAGTCTGGGGGGAAGCCCCTGGGTGCCTTGGAGGAGCTCCACCGCATGCAGCAACTTTGCTCAAGCAAGTTCAAGGACGCCCTGCCGCAAGAAGCTCGCGCAGCCATCGCAGCCGCCTGGGAGTCCGCGCAGCAGGCGAAGTAGAGCGAGCTCCCCCCTTCCCGTGTGCTGCAGCGAGTGGAGCAAGATCAACATCGCCGTGAGAAGCGGATCGAGCGACTCGAAGCAGACCTGGCCAAGGTGGTGGAGCGGATGCAGTCATTGGCCAACCAACGTGCTGAGTTGGAGCAGTATATCGCGGCGGAGAGGAAGGCCATGGAGGAGGCCAAAGCCGCCGCCGCCGAACGTCTTCGACATGCGGACCGACCAGCTGCAGACCCTGACCTGGCAGGACTCCGCCGCCAGATGGAAGAGTTCCAGCATGTACTTGCTGGTGTACAAGCAGGAGAGCTTCGAGAGTCGCTCGAGGCCAAGTACCAGAACATCCTGGAGATGCTACCGCCCAAGCCTGTGCCTCAGCCTGCTGCGACTGCCTTCGTTTCCACAGAGATGGTGGTGGATGAGGCAGACCTGGAGGAGGCGTGCATGGCTGCAGGCGTCGGCTCCGACGCCGTCAAGCGGGGTCTGCTGGAGGCGCTGCTGCAGGCCAGCAAGAAGCCCCGTTTTCGCTCGCCAGGCCCAGGCGGGAGGGTCAATGCCGCCTTTCGTCACCCGCAACCAGGGTGGGAAGGCGTTGGAGCTGAAGGAGATTGTTTTTTTATCCTCTGGGGGGTAACGCTCGTTACCCGGGCCTCTCCCCCCCCCCCCCCCCCGTAACGGTAACGCTCGTACGCGGGGGGGGTCTCGGTCTTCCCCTCCAACATGCTGGTGCCCGAAGGCATGCGCACTGTGGTGTGGTGGTCGCAGGCGCACTGTGGGCGCTCGCAGGCCATTGCGGCGCTCGCATGCGCGATGCTGGTGCTTGCGGGCTTTGCGCTTGTACTCGAATCGTCGTCGTCGTCGTCGTCGTCGTCGTCGTCGTCGTCGTCGTCGTCGTCGTCGTCGTCGTCGACGGCGCCCGAAAACGGCCTCCGGAGGCCGAAACAGGCGGCAAACGTCGTCGTCGTCGTCGTCGACCTCGTCGCTCGTCGCTCGTCGATCATCGTCGTCGCGCGCGCGGGCGCGGGCGTGGTGCCGGGACCACGCGGCGGGCTTTGCGCTTGTACTCGAATCGCAAGCCACTGTGGTGCTCTCAGGCAGAGAGTGCTGCTCGCGCGCATACTATGGCGATCGCAGAGCGCCCCTGCTTCGCCATACCCCGCCCAGCCCAAGCGTTACCGTTACCCGGGGGGCGCGACCCCCCCCACACCCCCCCCGGGTAACGAGCGTTACCGGCCGGAATAAAAAAATGATCTCAAGATGGAGAAGACTTCTAAGCAAGTTTCCTGTGGTCCAGCATCTTTGTGTGGTTCATCTGAGTTGTCGTCTGCTTCCTCCACGAGGGGACCTCCCTCAGTGCCCTGTGGGCCTCCTAGGCCTTGGGCATCTACCTCAGCGAGGACAGGCGAGGTGGCAGGACTGCCACAATCCTCCTCCCCAACTTTTGCTGTCAGCAGTGTCGAAAATATTGCCTCAGGACGCGGGACGGTCAATCGTCCCTTACAGGGACAAGCTCGGAAGCGTCGAGTTTGTGATTTGCTGCCGTTGAAGCTCCTGGCCTTCAACGGATCCAGTTGGGTTGCCGAGTCCAGGGAGTGCAATGATCTAGAACCCATTCCGAGGAAGGCCCCTAGTTTCAATGAGTTGGTCCGTGAGACGGACGCCGACATTTGTTTCTTGCAGGAACACTGTCTTGCAGGTGCTCTGTACCAGCGCACTCAGGCGCGACTGCAGAGAGCAGGTTGGCGAGTCTACGGCTGTGAGTGTATTCGGACGGAGGCTGGGAACGGATCAGGAGGGACTTTCATTATTGCGAGGAAGCATCTTGATACGTGGCCCCCCCCTACCTCCTCATCTACGCTTGTTGCTGGGCGAGTCTCGCGTGTGTTTTTTTCGCAGTGCAGGTTGTGGGCTCGTGGCCCTGTATTATGTTTATTTGCGGGACTCGGAAGGGATGAATGAGGAGAACGTCAGGGTGATGCATGCCATATGGAAGGATTGCTTTGAGCACAGCGTCCCTTTTATTGTCGCCGGGGATTTCAATGTGGCTCCCAGTGCGATGGTGTCTTGGGCTCCGCTGGCAAAGGTAGGGGCAATCACCAGGGCTCCATCTGTGCCTACGTATGTTGTGCCTGGCTCGTCGTCGTACCTCGACTAGTTTATCCTCAGCCGTGTGTTGGACCACACCTCTGGAGGCCTAGAGACGGACCTCAGCGCCCCCTTCAGCCCGCATAGGCCTGTCACTGTGAAGCTCATGCAAGCATGCCAGGACATCGCGGTTCGGGTCCCCGAGGCGTGCCAGAAGGTCCCAGCTGAGCCAGGTATTGGGCCCAGAGAGGCCCCGCCATGTTATTCCGACTTGGAAGGCAAACTACGGAATGTATTGGAGCATCGGCTAGACGAGAACGGCATGGGGACTATGATCTGGGGTCATACTCGTGAGATGGGAGTTACTATTCTGGAGGAGGTCTTCTTGGAATGGCGTAAACGTGCGCGGCAAGAACTCCTGCAGATCACACATGCGTCGAATCCCAAGGGGCTTCTCGGAGGATCTCAGTTAGAGTTCAAAGACGTCTCGGTTAGAACCCTCTTGGCCACCAAGCAATACTCAAGTGCGTTCCCAGGCCGTGCCATACATTGGGTGGTCTTGCGTTTCAAGGAGTTGCGAGCCCTGTTCCTCAGCCCAGAGCGCAGGGAAGACTACCGCCACGTCCTGTTGCGCCAGTGGGAAAGGCTACCAGCGCGAGGTGGCCCTTTCAGGCGCTACTGGAGGCAAGGCATTTCGTTCTGGCATCCCTTGTTGGCGGCCTGTGCTCAGCATTTACAGGCCAAGAGGTCGGCTGAGGAGCAGGTCCATTTCATCGACGTTTGCCTGCCTTTTTGTCACCGTCTTTCTTCGCATGGGGCAGCTGGAGGACAGGAGCAAGGCCAGAGCAGCATGGGAGGAATGGAGTAGAGATGCAGTCAGCCATGGTGGAAGGCGAGCTTATTATTTTCTCCGCTCGGGAGTGCCACTTCGCGAGCAAGTTGCGGAGGAGGGCGGCGCGTTTTCCAGTTCTTTGCCAGTGCGCCTCCGCGCAGAGACAAAGTTGTGGAGTAAAGCCTGGGCAGCAGCAACCGATGCCAGTTCTGTTCGGCCTCCCCTTGAGCCCCCCGCAGTATCAGCGCCAGTCCCAGGTCCAGTCCCTCCAGAACAACTTCAGCACATTGGATCGCGGTTTGCAAAGTTTACTTGTTGCCCAGATGGGTTTCATCCTCGCCACTTTGGGTTGTTGAGTCTGGAATCCTTGGGAGTTGTATCTTGGATGTACCATCTAATGGATGTGGTAGGTCAGGCCCCGTCTTCCATGCAGCAGTTGGCTGTCTTCTTAATGGGCCGCCCTGACAAAGGGAAAAGGCCCATTAGCCACTACAATGCTTTCGAGAGGCTTCACGGAAAGACCCATCGGAATCCTTGTCGTCGTTAGGAATGTGATGTGGGGCTAGGACCGCAGTTCTCTATGGGGCAGGGCCGCAGTTGCCTTGACATCGTTTGGCGTCAAAGTGTACAAGCGGAACTAGCCTCTGGGACCAAAGTTCACTATGGGACGTTGCTTTGGGACCTCCTCCAGTTCTACGAGCACGTAGGACATCAGGAGTTGGTAAATCAAGGGTGTTCGTCCCACTTCCCCCTCCACGTTCTGATTTATACCATCTCCACATATCGGTGGACCAGGTACCTGTTATTAGATGGAGCGTACTCGGAAGGAATCACCCCACCCAGGGTATCGCTGCGGGTAGCACCTCAGCCACCTACGAGGCCAAAGCGTTTATGCTACCTTCCGTGCAGGGGTCTACAGGTGTGCCCGACACAGGACTCGGGCTGCACATCGACGATCTCTCGTTTCACTCGTGGCACGATAGCGTGCACGTCTGCGTGGCCAACCTCAAGGCGTTGGCCACGACCATGGCCTACTATATCTCCCCCACCCTCCGCGTCCCGCTCGCCGAGAGGAAAATGATGGTGACGGGAAACTCGTCGAGGCTCGTGAAGGACATCCGTGAGGCTTTGGGTCAACTAAGTGGCTCCAGGGCTCATGCCCCAGGAAATCTTGGAGTGGCGTTCTCTGCGGGCAAACACCAACACACGCCTTTGGCTCGGGCTATTCGCAAAAAGAGGTTTCGGATTTTTCGGGCCCGTACGAAGCGTCTGGCGTTCTTGAAGGCGTCTCGGCGTATACGTGCCCGACTGTTCAAAAGTGGGTGCCTCAGTACTGTATCTTATGCGGTGGAGGTTCAAGGGGTTACGCCTACGGAGATTCTACATATGAGGAGGGCCTCTGCCAGGGCCTCAGGGATTAGTAAGAAGGGCTGCAACTTGGACCTCATGTGGGTTGTGCACAAGCATCGTGGGGACCCCCTCTACCTTGCCTCAGGACCTCTCAAAAGGTATGCGTGGGAATGGTGGCACTCCAGTGAGCCCTCTAGCTTTGGACGACCTCGACACAGTGACGCCCTGACTCCAGGCCAACTAAGTAGAGTGCTTCACAGTGCCGTCGCCACCCTCCAGACCACCCAGCGGAAGCCGTGGTTGTATAGGACGCGTGGCCCCATCTCTACCATGCTGTTGTGGTTGGAAGCTGGCGGTTGGTCTTGGGGGGGTCCTGCTACCTTTGTTTCTAGGTCTGGGTTCAAGTGGATCCTCACGGCAAGGCCACCTGCCCAAGTGGCGGACGCTTTCACCCGAGACCTCCAGGATGTGTATCTTAGGAGGTACCTTCTCAAGCACCTGTCGAGTACAGGTGTTGAGCATGAAATTTTGTCCAGAGGGCTGTAGCTACCTGCCATCCAGAGAGTAGCAAAAGACCTGGACGGAGGTCAGCGTCATGTTTTCTTTCAACTTTTAGCAGGATCGACGCCTACAGGAGCATCCATGTCCAAGTGGGGCTATGAGGTGTCCGATCTCTGCCCGCACTGTGGCGATCGGGACACGGTGTGGCACAGGTGCTGGACTTGCACGCACCGGCCAGCGGTAGTTGCTAGGAATGAACATTTCTGCCCGGAGCTTATCGACCAGGCCCTAGCTGCAGGGCCAGAGTCGTGTCTTTTCAGTCGTCTTTGGGCCCCCTTCCCCGACCTTCCCGAGCCTGCCCAGGACTGGGATTTGAGGTTCTTCGAAGGAGAAGGGGTGCCCTGCGAGCCATTCTGGTTTCAACCTGAGGACACCTTATTTACGGACGGGTCTTGCTTTCATGGGGACTTTCCCGAAATCGCCAGGGCTGGCCTTGCTGTAGTTCACATGGACGGGGAGAGACCTGTCAGAGGAATTTACGGACCCCTACCTAAGGAGTTTGCTCAGCAAGCGACTGATGCTGAGCATGCAGGCCTAGCAGTTGCTATCCTTAGGACGCAGCAAGAAGAGACCCAGCCAAAACCTATCTCTGTTGACTGTTCGGCGTTGGTGTCTGGGTCCAGGTCTCCTCGGAAGGTTTTGGAAGGGTCTTCCAGGCTGCACTTCTTCTGGCGGGAGATCAGTAGGCACTGTAAAGGTTGGCCCTCCCTCACGAAGGTTAAGGCCCACCGCAGCATGGAGAGTGCTACCAGTTTTGAGGATGGGTGCGCCATCTCTGGCTCGACTGCTGTGGATCATTGGGCCAAGCAAGGAGCCAGAATTCATTGTCTCAGTTCGGGGGAAGTTTCGCTTTTTGAAGAAGGGATGGCAGAATATGCCTCCCTTGCTGCAGGATTAGTCGCGGTCCTGTCGGCGTGGCCCCCATTTGAGTCAGCGTTCAGAGGTGTGAATCGGCCTGTGCGGGCCAAAGTGCCCAGAGCACCCTCCAACCACCTCCCCGTCCCCCATGGAAAGGGTTATAGGTGCAAGAGGTGCTTGCGAGCCATCACACCTGTGACCACCACCCAGTGCGCCAACCCCAACCCCACGCTTGTTTCTCTTTTGCGAGGGGGTGGTGGGGCGCGGCACAAGTTGCATTGGGCGCGTTTGGTGGAAACGGATGTGCCGTTAATCTTTTGCATTGCATGTGGAGGGATCGCGTGTGTACGTGCGGGGACTAGACTCCTGAGTGATTGTGATCCTCCTGTGAGAAGTGCTGAAAGGAGCAAACTTCTTCGAGGACTGTATCCTGGGACTAACTACAGGCTGGGCCCTTCCCTGCCTTTGTCGTCCCTCCCGTTTTATCCTCTGTCGTCTGCCTCGTCCTCGTCTGGCCCCGCTCCTGGAGGTGACCCAGACCTTGGTAGCCCTGGGCGGTGTGAATCTGCCAGCACCGCTGCCCAGAGTCTGACTCTGGTGCGGTCGCGGCTCTTGGGCGAAGAGGACGATGCGCCCCTGCTCCCACCCTTCGGAGGCAGGAGCCCATCCGACGACAGTGACTGAATGTGGTGGGGCGTCGGCCGATCATGGATTGACCAGGCACGCCAAGGTCTGAGAGGTCTGAGAGGAGGAGGAGGAGGAGGAGGAGGAGGAGGAAGGGGAAGGAGGAGGAGGATTTCTGGATTTCTCGAAGGCCAACGACCAGAGGAGGAGGAGGCGGAGGAGGAGGAGGAGGAGGAGGAGGACTTTTGGATTTCTCGAAGGTCAACGACCATAGGAGGAGGAGGAGGAGGAGGAGGACGAGGAGGAGGAGGAGGAGGAGGAGGAGGAGGAGGAGGAGAATGAGGAAGAGCATTCTCTACAGTCTTTGAAATTCGTGCAGAGCGGTGCACCAGGGGGGAATTTTCCACAGTAAAGCGGTGGTGGATCACGCTCGCTCCAAAATCGAAAGCCGCGCTTTCGCTGTTTCGGGCAAGCCGGCGAACAGATGAATGCACGACGAGTCTGCTGGAGACTTTTCCCATGTGTCGCCGGCGGCAGTTGCGCTGTGCCTGGCCCTCACTACGTTTTTTTTCCGCCGATCGACCCTGTCGACGGTGCGCGGCCTCTTCCGCGTCCCTCGCAATCAAAAAAATATGCTGGAGGCGTCTTCTGACAGGCAGGGCGACCGAGGCCGACGTCCCGGTCCGAGGTGTCAAAGCCGCTGCTCGCGCGAGGCTCCTGCAGGACACACAGGCGGCACGCGCTCGGTTCGAGGTCGAAGCGCCGATTCCGCTTGAGACGCCGTCGACCAGAATCCTGTCCAGAGGCAAGAAAACAAGAAAACAAAAAAACAAAACAAAAACATCCGTTGGGCACACGGAGGGAACATCGCCGGCTCGAGGTCAAAGCGCCCATCCCGCGCTGCTTCGAAGCAACCTTTTTCCGACCGAGCGCACGCTGCTCGCCCAGAACAAAAAAACATCATCCTGCGAGAGACGGGAGGCCCCAGGCTCGCAAAGAGAGGAGCCGCGTGGGGGAGCAGGCTTGGCTTGAGCCAGGCTGGCTGCGCAGTCACGACGGCGAGTGGCCCTCGCACACGCACGGGAGAGGGGTTCGGTTGGTTTGATTCTTTCGGGGGAGCGTAAGACCCGGGTTTGCCAGGACTCGGGTTCGCCATCGTTTTTTGACGACCTCGACTCGGATTTTGACGAGTAGGAGTTTCGTGGGATGTCTGCAGCGGGAGGCCTCATCAAAGTGCGGGCTCGGCCTCGTCATTTTTTATGACGACCTCGCCGGGGATTTCCGAGTCCCCCGTACCCGGGTCTCACGCCCCCCCGATTCTTTGCCGCTGGGTCTATTGAAGCAGATCGCCAGCCGGACCGAGGTATAGAAGGTCGAGGTCGGTTCGTGGAGGGGGTGCCCTCGTGTGCTTCGTGCGCGGTGGACGCTCTCGTGCGCCCCTTCGGGGGGGGTAACTACCCCGGGATGCTCTGTTGTGTGTTCGGCCGACGGAGGGCCTCGTGGTTTGAGGGATAGGATTCCGGCCTGGGTCCGATTGTATGAAGAACGGACAACGCGCACCCATACACAAGGGCTCCCTCGAGGGCGCGAAGTTATTCGCGCTTCGCGCTTCGCGGTCCTCGTTCCTTCTCCCCCTCCTCCTCGTCCTCCTCTTCTCCCCCTTGGGGGGCGGCGCGAGAGCGCGAAGTTATTCGCACTTCGCGCTTCGCGCAGCGCGAAGCGCGAAGTTGGGAGCCCTTGATTCTGGCCTGGGTCCGATTGTATGAAGAACGGACAACGCGCACCCATACACCTTGGGCGATGCTTAAGAAAACTTAAGTTTTCGGCCAGAGTCTCGATTATTCTTAACGTTTCAATGTAAATCCTAAGATTTTGATGGAAATCTTGGGTTTTTGTTCAAGTTCTGAGACCATGAATTTCTTAACCCATGATTTCTTAAGCATTTCGCAGGGTGTACCCACAGAGGGGACGGAGGGGGCTAGGGGTGCGTGTTGTCGGATGGGGGGTCCCCGTTCGAGCGGGATCTTCCCCCAGGGTCCGACAAACCCGCACCCATACCCACAGCCAGTCCTCCTCCTTCCGACCCTCCGAAGGGTATGGGTGTGTGTGTATGTTGTTCGCTCGTTATTAGCAGGTGTTGGGAGCATTTGCGCATCAATCATTCTATTGTGGGAGAGGGCGTCGCACGGCCGACATGGGCGACTCATCAATTCGAAAGCAACGAATTTGCATCAGAGGCGGTCGACATTGATTTTCTTCACGCCGTCTCCAGAGTCTCGTGTCATGTTCGAATGTGCACGTGACCGTAGACACTGCCTCTGGGGTCGCGTTCGAGGAGGTCCTTGTCTGTCGTCTGCCGTGTTGGCCACGCATGCGGCGGAGCAGAGGACATCGGCTTCTTCGGTCCAGCTGAAATCATCTATGCGCTCTTGGACAGCTCAGGCGGGGGATAGCGGGATTGGAATGCATGCGCTTTGTTTTCCCCTGCCGATTGTTCGCCAGACCTATGTTTTGATGATGTGATCATGAGTGCTGGCAAACACTAAGCCAATCAAGGCGGTTCTCCGGCAGGTTCCTGGCTTCAGGTTTGTGGTTTTGTTATTTGCATTTGCTTCAGTATCCGGTGGCCGCCTGCACATCTCGCCAACGTGCCCGAGTGGGCTCTCCCCCGCCCCCCAAAACTCAAAGCTGGCACGCGTGGGGAAGACTGCGGTCGAAGTGCAACTCATCCGACCCACCGCCAACATATATCGTTGGGGGGGGGCATTGACACATGAAAGTGCCATGATTGTTGGCTAATGTCTTCAGAGGCTTGGTTGCGTCGCGTTGAAGATGCCCAGGCGTACCTCTGACCGTAATGCTCGGTCTGCCTTCGTGCGACGTCTACGTCTCCGGGCCACTTCATGTTTGAGCATGTGCGTACACGCATACAGGAGTGAGTTTGTCTAGGGCGGGTGCTTGCTAGAACCGAATCGCGCGCGAAGCGTGCGAGTGGTTCTAGTGTGTACATCTACATATATATACACATGTATATATATATATATGTATATATATGTATGCGCAGTGGTTTGTTGTACGCGTATGCGTGCACAGTATATAACTATGCATTGAGTAACACATATATATATGTATGAAAACATGAATATGTAAATATGTACATGTCTGGAGATGTAGGTACGTATGCATGCATGCATGCATGCATCCACGTGTATATGTTTGTATGGATGGTTGTGTGTATGTGTGTGGATGTTTATGTGTATGCATGTCTGTATATGTGTAAGAATGTATGTATGTATATGGATGTATGTATGGCTGGGTGCCCGTATCGTTGTTGATGCATGTATGTACGTGTGTAGGCAGGTAGGTAGGTAGGTAGGTTTGTGCGTGTACGGATACAGTTCTGTATATATATATATATATATATATATGTTTGTATGTCTGCATATATGTATGTATGCATGAATGTTTGTATGGATGTGAGGGTGTATGTATGCATGCATGCACGTATGTGCGTGTATATGGATTTGAAAGTACGTCTGTCTAGATTTGCGTACATATGTATGTATGCATGTGTGTATGGTTGTGTGCATGTATGTATGTATGTAGGTATGTATGTATGTGCGTATGTCTGTAAACATGCATGTGTATACGTAGGTCGGTGGGCAGACAGATAGGTAGGTATACATGTATGCAGGTATTATGTGAGTATGAGTGTGTGTACGTATGTATGTATGTCTGTATGCGTGCATGTAGGTATGTGTGTGTCTGTCTGTTTGTCTGTCTGTCTGTCTGTCTGCCTGTCAGTCTGCCGGTATGTCTGTATGTATGCACGCACACTCCTACGCTTCGCTACAAACCAGCTGCCTGCGGCACACACCGCCACCGTGCCAGCGCAGCAGTTGAGCATGAAGCAGGTTGTGGATGAACCACAACAGTTCAGCGCGCGGTATGAAATCGTGTGGGTCTTAAACTCGAGCCCAGCCCCTCGTTCCTGAGGCCGTTCTGATGCGTTTGTTTGTGCCGCTTTGGAGAGTTCTCGGGGAGTCGTGGGGCCATATGGGGGCTATCTTGGAGCAGTTTTGGTCAGTCGTTGGGGTTTCCTGGGGCTCCCTGCAGCTTCCCCGAGCGATCTGAAGCAGAAAGGTCTCGGGAGCAAACAAGGTTGATGTCCCGTACGTCCCTTAATTGTTCCCCCGCCTTTTTGAGTATTGTTAGCCTTAGTTTACGATTGGCAGTGCCGCGCCTCACTTCCGCCTGACATCCTCGTGCCTCGTCCCTTCGCGTGCCAGGTCCGGCGCACCACTCACACGATAAAAGAGGGCCCACGAGGAGTGTCACCTACAGCCTCAGTGGCCCCGATCGCAGGGCACAAGCGCTCCCACTTCGGCACACCCCTCGCATGGCTCGTGGACCAGGAGGGAGCTCCACCTCAGGCCCCAGTGACAGGGTCTGCACGGTGGCGCCTCTAATCTCGAGACACACCATGCGCCAGGATCGTGGCCACATGAGGAGTCATCTACGGCCCCAGTGGCAGGACCCTCAAGGTGCCGCCACTCACTTCGGCGCATCCCTCTCGAGGATCGTGGACCCATACGAGAGATCCATAGACTGCCTATGTGGGAGGGACAGCGACAGCATGGCGGTGCTGCGCATTTCGGCGCACCCCATCGCGAGGATCGCCACATGGGAGTTCCACACGTGGCCTCTGCAGAGGGCCCGAATGGCGGCGCCGTCCATTTCGGCGCACCATTTCCCACGTTCCGTGGCACCCCAGGAAGCTTCACCTTCGGCGCCAGTGGCAGGTTCCGCAAGGCGCCGTCGCCCATTTCGGCACACCCCACGCGAGGACTGCAACCCCCCTTAGGGAGTTCCACCCACGACCCCAGTGGGAAATTGTGCATGCGTGCGTCCGACCGTTTCGGTACACCCCTCACGCAAGCCCCACTTACAGCCCCAGTGGGAAATGTTGCATGCATTTCCCCTTGCATTCGGTGTGCCCCTAACGCGTGCCAGGCCCTTTAGGGCGTTCCTCATGCAGCCCAGCCCAAGTTTGAAAGTTTGCGTGTCGTCGTGCACCTGTTGCAGCACATCTTTCACATTGTCCGTGCATAGAGATACTCATCACGAACGGTACATGGAGGTGTGAAGTGTTGGGTCTTTCGCTTGGCTAAGTTTCGTTTCTTCGGGTATAGTTGGAGGTCTCTTGGATCTTCCCGTGGAGGGTTATTGGGGCCCATTGGGACATATCGGAGAGTTCGTGCCGTCTTTGGGGGCTCGCTGAGCCGTCTTCGGGCCGTCTCAAGGTGAGCCCAAGACACACGCCAGGGCAGCGCGCGATCTGAATTCGTGGGGAGCTTAAACTTCGCATCGTCCGTGCGGTCTTGTAGATGTCGGCTAGTCTTGGAGGGCTCTCGAGCATTCGTGGGGTTATCGGGAGGCTCTCTTGGGGCAGCGTTGGACAGCCTTCGAGGTCTCGTGTGGCCTTCCAGCGCTTTCCCGAGGCGACGTGAAGATGGCAGGCCTCGGGAGCAAACATTCATAGATTGGCTTGACGGGATTAAGCGGGTTCGCTTCTTTGAGACGTGTTAAAGGTCTCTTCGGGATCGGCATGGTGGTGTCTTTGGCACACTTGGGGCATAGTGCGGACGTGTTGGAGCCGTTGTGGGGTACGTGGGCCGCATCTGGTGGCGTAGTGCAGCCTTGTGGGACTATGGTTAGCTGTCTCGGAGCCTTCTGGAGGCCAAATAGAGCGCCAGAGAGCACAGGCAGGGAGCGGTCTTCGAAGGACGGTTGCGGCGAGGGGCGGATCGGTCCGCGCTAAAGGAACCTTACCAAGCAACAGAGAAGCATTACAAGACGTCCCAGCGTGCCGCTGGCACAGAGGCGAAAATGATACTACGTGCCGTCACACAGTACACCATGCGTTGGCATTGCATGTTCTGCTACGCCACGCCATGATGTGGTTCGCAATGATGGGGCGCAAACGAGGTTTTACGGTGTACTATGGCAAACCGTGCGTTACCTTGTAGTGCCTGACATCTCCTTGCAATTCATACGCATGCTCGCGCAAAGCTTAATGTCCGTAATCGGGGTCGCGTTCACTCAAGAGTAGGGTTTCTTGGCACCCTCCTTGGAAATTCTTTACGCTTCGCGTATCCCCACCAGCCCATCTCACAGCAGCAACTCTCGCGAAGCATGCCGACAGTCGTGTTTTTCAGGCGTGTGTCCGCTTGGCCCCGCATCTCTCCCCTGTTCCTCCTTCCTCCCGCCTCCTTGTACATCCTCCTTGTGAGGGGAGCGGGAGAAGGACGAGGCGGAGGAGGAGGGAGAGAAAGCGCTCCTCGTGATTTGAGTCGTTTGGGGTTTCTCGTCCTGGTGTGAGTCGTTCGGGCCCTTCTTCCTGGTGTGAGTCGTTCGGGCTCTTCGTGGTGTGAGTCGTTCGGGCTCTTCGTCCTGGTGTGAGTCGTTCGGGCTTCTCGTGGTGTGAGTTGTTCGGGCCCCTCATCCTGGTGTGAGTCGTTCGGGCCCCTCCTCCTGGTGTGACTCGTTCGGGCTCCTCGTGGTGTGAGTCGTTCGGGGCCCGCGTCGTGGTGTGAGTCGTTCGGGCTCCTCGTGGTGTGAGTCGTTCGGGCGCCTCGTCCTGGTGTGAGTCGTTCGGGCCCCTCCTTGTGGTGTGAGTCGTTCGGGCTCTTCGTGGTGTGAGTCGTTCGGGCCCCTCGTCCTGGTGTGAGTCGTTCGGGCTCCTCGTGGGGCCTCTTGGGGGCCTCTTGGAGCCTCGTGGGGCCTCTTGGGGGCCTCTTGGGGGCCTCTTGGGGGCCTCTTGGGGGCCTCTTGGGGCCCCTCTTGGGGGCCTCTTGGGGGCCTCTTGGGGGCCTCTTGGGGCCTCGTGGGGCCTCTTGGGGGCCTCTTGGGGGCCTCTTGGGGGCCTCTTGGGGCCGCTTGGGGGCCTCTGGGGGGCCTCTTGGAGGCCTCTTGGGAGCCTCCTGGGGGCCTCGTGGGGCCATCTTGGGGCCTCTTGCGACCTCCTCAGAAGCGCAAATGAGAGCTGCCCCCTGAGAAGGACAAAATGAGCCCAAAACCTTCGTAAAATCAATGATTTTGCTATGAGGGAAGATGAGCGCGGCCCCCTCAGAAGGCCAAAATGGGGCCAAACCCTCGTAAAATCAATGATTTCTGCTTCAAAGACGAGCAGAGGGGCCAAACTCCCTCCCCCCGTCGGGGCCAGAATCCTCGTGAGGGTCGTCGTTTTTTGGCCCTCCGAGGAGTCGAAATGGACCCCCCTGACACCACCCCGGACTCCCTGTCCAGGTCCAGGGGGAGGGGGTCGGGGGAGGGGTAAACCCCTCCCCGAAGGGGAAGAAGGGGGGTTGAGGACAGAGCGGGCTCTCTAAACCACTCACGCCCAAAGGGCTGGTGGGATTACATTTGGCACTTTTGTAGGCATGCTGGATTAGTTCTGGCCATGCTGGAGGCAACATGGTGCCATCTTGGAGGCATGCGTTGACAAGATTATCCGTGGGTTGTTTTTAAGGCGTGGTAGGCAGCATATCTGTCAATGTCGAGGGCCGCTTGGGACGCGTATGGTGCCCCGTGTGGCCCTATTGGGGCCGTCTGGCATCTCTGTGGGGCCCTTTTGGTCAATATTTGGAGCCGCTTAGGGGGGGGGGGGGGGCATATTGAGGCTGGGGGAGGGCACCCTCGAGGTTCTCCTCAGCTTTGCTGGCGGAAGGCCTCAGGGTGTCCTCCTGTCCCAGGTCCGGCCGTATCACGCTCATGCGCCCAGATGTGTATGTTGCTGGCTCTTGCGTGCTCATTGAGGGGCGTTTGCCAGCCCACTGTTGATGGGCTCTGTGCTCTGGTTGCCCCCCCCCCGACCCCCGACCCCCGCAGAGCAGCCAGGTCCTCGTCCCCCACACTGTTCTCTTCAAATGCGGGGGGCTCTGTTGTTGACTGATATGTTCGCACTCGCGCCTCTGATCCTCATTCCGGCGCATCCCCTGTTCTGCGTGAATGCAGAAGCGGGTTATGTATGAAGAGGGCGCCGTGTGTAATGAAGTGTCACACCATTGGAACGTACGTACGATTGCTAGTATTTGTTGTCCGACGTTGCAGGGACGTCTTTCGCTCATACGTTCTTCCTGGATGCCAATCCGCGCTTTGCTCCAGCACCCCTGGCGAGTGTAGCAGACATGAAAGATGAACAGTCGGCCGTTGTGATAGGTGCGTGCTGAGGGGGGCAGCGACCACGTTGGTGGGAGCGGCCGCAGTTCTGACTAGTGACAAGTAGCGAAGTAACGATGCATGTGCACAACGCGAAGCCCAGGGGCAACCAAGACGACTCCTAAAGGAGCAGCAGCGGTGAGCAAGTGACGCTGTTGAGCGAGATGCCATGGGAGACGATGGCGACATTTCCTACGAGGAGTTTTCAAAGCTGTGGAGCTACATGCCCGACAGTACCAAGAACGGCACGCTGCTTCCTAATTTTGGCAGGATGAGAACAGGGATGGCGTAGTTTGGATGGACAGAGAAGAGCCCACCAGCAAATTGCGGAGGACAGCCAGAGCGTCGGATTACGAGAGAACGGTTGGGCGGGAACGGCTTGAGCGGGAGGTCGCCAGCGCGTGGAATCACAGCGATTTTGTGTAGCCGCCGCAACGTTTCGTTATGCCCCCTTTTTCTCCTCGTATTCCCCTTCCATCTCCCCTACCTACCTCTCTTATCCACTGTCATTGCCTCAGTGTGCTCCGACTTGCATGTGCAACATTGCGGTTCGGAATCACAGAGCAGGAATCATTTCGATTCGATCGATTCGATCCGATGCGGATGCGCCCGATTCCGATTCGATGTCGATTCGACTCGGCGCAGGTTGATTTCGATTCGATCTCGATCCGATTCGTTCGAGGCGGCACGCTCATTGTTTACAGTCTGGCACGCTGGCATTCGGGATGCCAGGCTCGTTTCGTTTCGGTGCGGGCTAGGCTGAGCCAGGCGCAAGCTGGGCTGGGCTAGGCGCAGGCTAGGCTAGGACACCGACACCAAACTCGTGGGGTTCGAAAGAATATGTTTCGCATGGCGATCCATTTACGATTGACGCGAGGCCAATGAAACGAACAACAAGAACATGAGCGGGGCGAGGGAATGTGGGAGGAAGGTTCGAGGTAGAGGGCGTATAACTTCAAAGCTGTGCCATCTCCCCCCTGGCCCCCTTCCGACAGCGCGCGAAAATCGTTCCCCCTCTCCCGTTGATCCAAGGGTGGCAACCATCCCCCCATTCGGAGAAGGGCTTCACGCCCCAAGAAGATTTCCTCATCCCCCGTCTCCAAGGCATTGTTGCCAAAGAAGTGCTTGGGCGCTCGAGTGAACTGGTTGCTCGCGCCAGCGTGGGATGCCCACTGGTGAGCTGAGCTTTCTTGTTCCGCGACCACCAGACCTCCCTGGAAGCCCTCTGGCGCTTATTGGGGGGCCTCCGAGGGTTTCTTCGGGCCCTTCGGAAAGCTTCGGCAGAGTTCGAAACAGTCTCGAGAGAAACCCAAGAGGCCCCCTCCCAGATGCTCCGAGGAAGCCTGCCTAAACGTAGTCCCGGGAGCTTCTAGGAGGGGCCTTCTTGAGGCGTTCTTGGGGCCCTCTGGGCGCCTTCCTGGAGCTTATTGGATGCCTCCCAGAGCTTCCTCGGGACATTTCGGAGGGAGTCGGGAGAGCTCTGAGAAGGCCCGAGAGAAGCCCAAGAGAGCCCCTCTTAGATTTCCAGGAAGCCTTCCTCGACGCAGTGCTGGGAGCATCTGAGAGGGACCTTATCGAGGCCTTCTTGAGGTGTTCTTCGGGCCCTCTTGAAGCCCTCTGGGTGCTTCTGGGGGCCTTCCGAGGGCCTCCTCGTGATTTCGGGATGGCTTCAGGAAGGCCACGAGAAGGCTCGAGAGGACCCCGGAAGGATCTTGAAGTTGTCACTTCCGGCGCCCGTGAAAGTGACACATCCCAGGGCCCTCTTGAGACAATTCAGGGGGCCTTAGGGCATGCTAGTTACTCCCAGGAACGGGATCGTTCACTGGCTTCCGCAGGCGCGCCTTTTGGAAGCGCAATCCCAGATTTCCACGGCGGGGGCGAGGGTTGGGGGAAGTGGCGCGACCTGGCGTTGCAAACCTTCGCTTAGCCAGCAGGTTCGCGTCAAGGCGCCGAAGTCTTAGATGATGTGATCTGGTCCCTCCGTTGCGAAACGACCACAGATGAGCTCACAGCAAATAATCGTTACATGTGATGTTTTTTAAAAAAGACGTTTTCATCCTCGTCCTCCTCGTCCTGTGTCTCCTCATCCTTCTTCGCCCCCCTGCTTCCCAACAAACCGCATGCCTGGCTCGAGGCTCCAGCAGCAGCGACGAGGACGAGAACTGACGGACAACTTGAGCGCCATCCGCTGTTTCTTCGTCCCAGCCGCGCTCTGCTGTGGAAACTGGACAGCCCGGCTGGGTGGGGAGAGAGCGGCGTCCTCCTCCTACCTCCTCTCCTCTCCTCCGATCCCCCTCTTCCATCGTCCCCTCTCCCGCCTCCTCGCCCGCCCCGCTTGGCGGCGAGCTGCTGATCGTAACTGCTGGGAGCACGACACAGTCGGCCCCGCTGCTCAACCTTTTCCCACGGGTGCGGTCCTCGTGTGCGGCGTCCGGCGCCGTGCTCCTACAGGCGGTGCCGCCAACACGAGATGCTTCCCCTTTTCCCGCAGCACGTGCCTCTCTCAGGAGGGAAAAAACACACAGGCACAATGAATCGTCGATTCCCAGAAAATATGGGAAAATATGGGAAGTGGGGGGAAAACAAAAACACAGAAAATATATGACAATATGGGGAGTATTTTTATTTGTGTATATTAATTTGTGTGTCCCAGGGCCCCTTCACTCTCGGAGGCCTCGCGGCTTCCAGGCTCAGCGGCACCCCAAGACCCGCGTGGGCTCGAAGGTACACTGCGCCCTTGCCTCCCTCACCCCTGGCAATAATTATTGCATCACGGGCTGTAGCTCGTTGCCCTCCTCTGCACCCGTCTCTTCTCAGCGGAGGCGTGGTTCCCTGAACAGGTTTTTGCCCCAGTGCGTTCGCACCGCACGTCGCAGCCCAGCAACAAGAAGCCGCGCGTTTCGGGTGACGTCTCTTGGAGTTCTGGTTACTCCTCAGCGGTATGAGACCCCAGGAAGCAAGAGGGGTTTCGCCGAGCAGCCCCACGAGATCTGAGCTGTGTGAGGTCCCGCTCCGCTGGGGAGTCATCGCGACCGTCGGGTCCGCACAGACGCCCATCCGTAATGCGACCGCGACGACCTGCTTCGCAGATTGTCGTTCGTGAATCGGCGTATCCTGCGAGAGTGCTGCCACGATCCAGGGGCCACCAGCAGTTGCTCGAGCTTCGTGTTGGCAATTTCTAGGTCGTCGACGGGCCCCTAAAGGAGAACGGAGGCCTTGAGTCTGTAGGGACCAGCGCACCTTGAGAGCCCCACTTCGCATTGGAGGAGATCTGCGCACGTGGTTTTAGCCCGTTCCCCATCACCTGTTTCCTTTTCCTGCTCTCGCTTGCCCCAGCACTGGCCCGTCCCTTTTCCTTGCACCCCTTCGGTCCTCCGTTCTTCAGTTCGACGCGACTCCCATGGATTCGGTCGTCGTGGGTTGTGCCCTCAGCCTTCGAGTTTGCGGCCGTGGACCTCGAACAGCTTCCCTCGCAGACTCGATACGTGTCGCTTGGAGCTGCTGGTTCGCGCCCGTTTCCTGTTGATCTCCCTTGCCGAAGCCAGCGTGACGCTCATCTGATCTATTCAGGTCTCCAGGAAACGGCGGCCACATGTATTGTGGCGTCGGTCTCGCGCGTCGCAGTTCTGTACGGACTGCGTTGCGTGAGATGCCATCGATGTGTGTATGTGTGTGGAAAGTAGGAAATTATCTGTGGCAGAGGGGGGGATCGGGGGGAGAAACAGGTGTATTGTCATCTTACTCCTCCTGGTCTTATTCCTTATTCGTACATGCTCCTACTCGACTTCCTAGCCGGCTGATCGGCCGTCAATCCAAGCTTTTCTAGCCTATCGAGCTACCTGCGGCAAGCCCCGCCACCGTGCCTGTACAACAGCGCAGCAGGAACGAGGCTGAGTGGAGGAACAGCGTAATTCCGACGAGTAGTTTGCATTGGGGCGGGTTGTGATCCCGACCTCGTCTCCGTCCTCGCGGCAGGGCGGAGGAGGGGGAGAAGGAGGAGGAGGGCCTTCTTGGGGGTGCCTAAGTGGCCTGGGAGCGTCCTGAAAGCTTCTTGGGGACCTCATGGGGCCTCTTGGGGGTGTCTTGGGGCCTCTTGGGCCGTCTTAGGGGAGCCTTGGCCCGTCTGACGCATATGGAGGCCGCCTTGGGGGCCTCTCGAGGCCGCGTGGCTGCCCTCCCCGAGCGGTTCACGAACGTCTCGGGGCCTTCTTGGGGGCCCTCTCGGGGGCCTCTCGGGCTGTCCTGGAGCTATGTTGGGAGGCATCTGAGAGGTGTCTTGGGCCGTCCTGGGTGGTCGGAAGCCTGAACAGGTGAGCACCTCAGAATCTTCCAACTACTAAAGAACCATGCTTGGCATCGCTCGGACGTGTGCATTTTTCCTTCGGCGAGGACCATCGAGGAGCATCCTTGATCATTTGGCGAAAAAAACCACGCACGAAACCGAAAAGAGCACACGGAATGGACGTCCGAGCGATGGCCAGTCTGAATAGGTGAGAATCTCAAATCGTTCAAGAACTAAAGAACCATGGCGTTGGCCTTCTCGGTCCTCTCCAGGAGGGGCCTCCCGGAGACCTCTCGGGCCGGCTTGGGGGGCCTCTTGATCTCTATCTTGAGGCCGTCGTTCGGAGCTTCGTCCGCCGTCCCGGGCCACCTTGACGCCATTCTGGCCGTCTTGAAAACCGTCCCGGAGGCCACGAGGTGCCCGAGAAGGCTCCAGAACAGATCAGAAGGCCCCGAAGGCGGCCGGAGGGGTCCTCCAGGAGGCCCTCCAGGAGAGCCTGAGGAGGCCAACACCACCGCTCTGCCTGAGGTGTTTTCAGGACCGTGAGGTCCTGGCATGGTTGGGTTCCCGACTGCCCAAGACAGGGTCAGCTTGGGCCGACTTTAGGCCCTCTTGGGGGCCTCTTGGAATGGCTTGAAACTATCTTGGAGGCCTCTTGGAAGCCTCTTGGGCCGTCTTGGGTGGTCGGAAACCCGAACAGGCGAGTACTTTAAAATCTGTAAAAAACATCGGGGAATCGATGCTGTTGGCCCCCTCTGGCTCTCCAGGAAGGCCTCTTGGAGCTATCTCGGGCCGACTTGGGGGCCTTTTCGGGCCGTCTTGAGGCCCTCTTTGGCTATCTTGAGTCGCCTTGAGGCTCTCTTTGGAGACTCTTGAGCTGCCTTGGGCCATGTTGGCCCGTTTTGCTGTCGTCTTGCTTGTCTTGGAAGACGTCTTGGAGGCCATCTTGGCCGCCTGGAGGCCGACAAGACCGCCAGAAAGCAATTTCAAGTGGGTGCTATTTGAGGGGCGCGTGCGGGGGGGGTCCATTAGAACGCTTGAACCCCCCCAACACAGCCCAGACAACACAATGCATGCTAACACGCCCACTCCGTGCAGGCACGGTGGCGGATGACGGGAAGCGCCCCTGGCGTGGACCGTTCGTTGGTGGTAAAAAATAAGCATCGGGTGCGCGCCGCACTTTGAAACTGCGCTGGTGGATTTTTGAAAAATGGCTGTTCCTCTCGAGACCTCTCCGTCTCAACACTGTCGGCAGGAATGGCACGGGGTGCGCATCCAGCGCAAAAAGGGAGGGGCAACACGTCGCTCTCGCCTCGGGGCGCCGTGCTCGTGTCTCCTTGAGCGCCGCGCTCGCGACCGGGCGCGACGCACACTGTTCGCTCGCTGGCTCGTCGACGCGCGCACGGACGAGAACGGGCGGTCTCGCCTCGGCGCCGCGCACACTTCGCCCGAGAGCGGCGCTCCCGCCGCAGCGGGGGGGGGGGGGCATTTCGTTCACTCGCCAGGTCGTCGAGAGCGGGGCCGCGCGCGAGTGGGCGACTCGTCGCTGTGCTCGCTCATGCGCCGCGCAGTGTGTGTGTGTGTGTGTGTGTGTGTTGTGTGTGTGCGTGTGCGCGTGTGTGTGTGTGTGTTGTGGTTGTGTTGTGTGTTGTGTGTGGTGTGTGATGTGTGGTGTGTTGTGTGTGCGCGCGTGCGTGCGCGCGCGTGTGTAAATGCGCGCGTGTGTGTGTGTGTGTGTGTGTGTATGTGTGAGTGTGTGTGTGGGTGTGTGTGTACGTTCGCGCGTGCGTGCGCGCGCGTGCGTGTGTGTGTGTGTGTGTGTGTGTGCGTGTGCGTGCGTGCGTGCGTGCGTGTGCTGTGTTGTGTGGTGTGTGTTGTGTGTTGTGTGTTGTGTTGTGTGTGCGCGTGTGTACGTGCGTTTGTGTAAATGCGTGCGCGCGTGCGCAAGTGCGTACGTTCACCCTTGCGTGCGTGATCGTGTGTGTGGGTTTTAACCGGAAGAGGCTCGCTCCCGACCCGCAGACCAAAAAAGTGTGTGTGTGTGGGTGTGTGTGCGCGCGTGTTTCCTCCTCCATGCCGCCGTCGCCGGGCGTTCCTCCTTGTTCCCCCGCGCACTGCGGCTTAATTCGCATGTGTTCGTCCAGTTTTTGCTCTTCAGTCAGAGCAGTCACTCTTCCTAGCCGCCACCGCAAGAAGTGCGCGCGTGTGTGTGTGTGTGTTGTGTTGTGTGTTGTGTGTTGTGCTGCGTGTGTGTGTGTGTGTGTGCGAGCGTGCGTACGTGCGTGTGTGTAAGTGCTTGCGCGCGTGCGCCCGTGCGTACGTTCGTGCGTACATGTTTGTGCGTGTGTGTGTGTGTTTGCGTGCGCGCGTGAGTGCTTGTGTGTGTCATATTGTGTGTTGTGTGTGTGTGTTGTGTTGTCTGTGCGCGCGTGCGTACGTGCGTGTGTGCGTGCGTGCGTGTGTGCATATGTGCGCGTCTGCGTGCGTGCGTGTGTTGTGTTGTATGTTGTGTGTTGCGTTGTGTGTGTGTGCGCGCGTGCGTACGCGCGTGTGTGTGAGTTCGTGCGCGCGTGCGCCCGTGCGCGCGTGCGTGCGTGCGTTCGCGCATGCGTGTGTGTGTATGTGCGTGCGTGCGTGCGTGCGTGCGTGCGTGCGTGCGTGCGTGCGTGCGTGCGTGCGTGCGTGTGTGTGTGTGTGTGTGTGCGTGTGTCTGTGTGTGTGTTGTGTGTGTGTGCGTGTGTCTGTGTGTGTGTTGTGTGTGTGTGTGTGTGTGTCCGGCCGCCTGAGGCCCCGCCGGCCTGTGCCCTGTCTCCCCAATTAGAGCTGTGCGTAGCCCGCCTAGCTTTTATCGGAAGAGGTTCGCTCTCGCCCCGCAGACCCGAAA